TTTACCTATCTGGGGCACATGTGAGCTGTTGCTGGATGGATGGTATAAAGTATAATGTTTTTGATATGCCATGTCTATGATATTTTGGACCAAATTCGGAATTCATTACACAGTTGTTTCTCTTCATGCTGTCCATCTACTCTACATCATAACTCGTTTAGTGCGAATATGGATATTTCGAATTTACGGATATAACTAAGTTATCTTGGATCCCCAATTATATAAATCTGCTTTAAGAAATATGTTCCCATGTTTGCTATCTTTATTTTTAGTGCATTAGTTGGAGTTGGTACCTTGCAAATGACATGCAGTTTTTTGTACTTTCACCATTTATAATATACCCTTTGTACAGGTAAGTGTTGTACTGTTATTTTTCTCGTGAACCTCAAGCAGAAAAAAACATGTTTATAGCAAAGATGCTTATAATGAATTAATTTACAGTTATTATGAAATAATTTTTTACCCTATGACTCAATTTAAATAAATATATACATGCATAATTTTTGTAGTCTTATTGAATATCCCCCAGGATCTCCCATAATTTGTCATGGGAGATTCTTTTTAATCCAGGTTTAATACTTCATAATCAATGTTTTACAGTTTTTGTATTATACCTTTATAGGACTTCATTTTATTTTACTTCATTACACTAACGCAAAATCCATTGTGACCTAACAAATGTGGGATACAAAAAACCATATCAAATGAACTATATCCACGGGATAAACCTAGAATGAAACAAATTACACTTATAATGAAGGAAAACTGTCCACCCCCGGCGCTTCCTTTTATACTTTTAATAAATCTATTTTATTATACCCCCCGCTTGAAAAGTGGGAGGGTATATAGTAATCGGTATGTCCGTCCGTACGTCCGTCTGTACGTGTGTCCGTCCTCTGTTACGCTTTGGGGTACCATCTCTTATCCGCAACTCCTCTCATACCACTGAAGCAACTTTAATGAAACTTTCACAGAATCTTTATTACATATTGCCATTGTGCACCTCCTATTTTACTTTTTGATCCGACAAATATTTTGGATTTTCCAGAGCAAAACATGGATACTGCCATTGTATTCGTATGGGAAGCCGGGGGTATTATTTAGTGAGCTTATTGCTCACCGTACCTCTAGTTTATTTAAACTTCATTTTCATAGTTAATGTTTTGGTTCTTTTCAGGAAACCTTTGATAGGATACATTATAATATTGGCTCTTATGGTGATGCAGTTGGTTTTCAGGGGGATAATGTCAGTACAGCTGGGTTATAACTTGGGCCATTCACCCAAGTAGGTTAATGATGACAACATACACTGTACAAGTATAAACTGGTTTAAATATTTTAAGGCAGCTGTTAGTCCAACAGGATATTTATTGTCACTAATTTGTTTTCTCATATAATGTCAAGGTCATAGGCTCATACTCTTGTTTTTCCTGTCACTCTTGACAAAATATCTACTATATTATTGTCTGAGTTGATAATAATATGAAAATCAAAATATAAGTTTGATCATTTGATCATTCATGTATATTACATGTAGTGAGTACTGTAGATTCCTTATTTTTCGTGAGTACTTATCATCGCGAATGGGCTCTTCAACGTCAAATTTCAAGAATAAAAATTCGCGAGTTGACGTTTGATCACGAGATTTTACATAGATTTTAGCACCATAAAAAGGCGAATAATTTTATTTTGTGTGTGGTGCCTCTCACGAAATTACCTGATAATTCCACGCAATTATTTATGAATTTGCTATAATTCTTTGAATTTCATGTTGCCTACAACACGTGTACAAGTTGCTTTCTTTTACAGCCCGGTAGAATCATTTGATAAGGTATACCAGAAGCCCTATGCCAGAATAGCCCCATACCTTATTGGAGTTCTAACAGGATACTTCATGTGGAAATCTGAGAGACAAGCCAAGCTGCCAAAAGTAAGTATTAATGTCAATAATGAACATCTGCAGAATTACAAAAAATAAGTTTTTTGGATGCTGATAATTGAAATTACATATTGATTAAGGGTATGAAGACAACAAATCATAAAATAATGTCTTCAATACATTATATTTCCACTATTGAAGAGTTATAGTTCCTAGTGTGCTCTTTTGTGAAAAAGTCGGAGAATGTACAAATCTCGCGTGCTTTCTGGGAGAAACGTAACATAAACATGTAAACAACACGTTGAATGTCGATGAACAAATCCAAAAAATGCATATGAAAGATTTTATTGCTGTGGACTTTATTTTAATCAAGAGTAGAGATGACAAGGATATTAATTTACATCTATTGAAGATCGTATGTATCTATTTATCAGTTTATCATAATGGTACATTTAAAGTCAATACACATACCTCGGAAATATCGTATTTTTATTAATGGACGATAAAGTTAGGGTTTTCGCTCTTTTACATATGTGTTTTAGTTCTTCTATTCTTTAGTACGAATGACAAATGCACATAACATTTAAAATTGGATTGATAGTGGCATGTTTTGTATTATCCGCAATGCCATGCTGTCCCAGTCAGATGACCAAACGCGCCTCTAATTCTGAAGAGTTCACTACATACTCCTCAGATTTTGATGTTTTGAAAATTGGCCATCATACTTTCTTGTAACTATAAATGTGCATATACCAGTCCTATGAAAATTAAAAGAAAACAAAGCAAACAAATATTCCAGTAATAAAAATGCATTCTTAAAAAAATTTAAGAAAGGAAAAAATTAACCGTCAGATTGATTTTCAACAAATATGTTAATTGCTACAAGTGCTAACAAGTTCTTTTATGGAAATGGATTGACTTTCTTTTTATATAGATGCATGTACATGCATATGCTCCAGAGAACTGTTTTTATATTAGCTTTATATTTAACCAGGTGATTGTGGTGTTGGGATGGATTATTGCCCTGATTTGTTTGTCTTCATTGGTGTTTGGGAGCACTGAACTGTACAGGGGCCATAAATTCTCTACAGCAGTTTCTGCCCTTTACAACTCTTTGTCAACTACAACTTGGGGCTTGGGTGTAGCATGGATTATTTTTGCCTGCAGTATAGGATATGGAGGTTAAAGTCATATAGAGTACAATATTTAAGAAATAAGGTATCATTTTTAAACATCTATCGGAATATAAATACGGGTTGGTCACGTGATTAAATTCCATAAAGCCCGAAGCTTTATGATAAATTTAATCTCGTACCAATCCGTATTTAGAGCCCGTTAAATGTTTTAAATGATACCTTATTACTTATATTTACATTTGTGACTTATTCATACTTTATATTTGCCTGATTAAGACTTTTAACGTGTGAAATGCATTATTTTTCAAACCCAACGGTATGTATGTAATCCACATAACGCGTGTCGACCCTTTAAGACGTCACTGAGAAATTACTTTGAACGTTTATCCATACGCACATCTATGACCTCTTGACCCCGTACCGGTATTTATACAGTTATAGATATGCATTGCTTTCAGTAGTGTTATATAAAGGAAAACATTTGCAAATGTAAATATAAATAAGTGATCTGAAAAATATTTCAACTTGTAGTTGCACTGCTGTGCCTTTGTATTAAAAGAACAAAAATATTATACCTTAATTGGTATATGTATTTAAATTTTCCCTGATGTTTCACGTCTGAGGCATCATTGAGCTTTAAATTGAACTTTTCACATAATATCTTAAGTTTCTTGTCCAGAACCAATGGACCAGCTTAACTAATATATTTATATCAGAAGTGAGTTAAGATCGACAGTGTTTGGTTCATGTTTAATGGACACATTGTAACATTTGACCCTGTAGGTTTTATCAATACGTTCCTGTCTGCCCGTCTGTGGTCTCCCCTCAGTCGCCTGACCTACTGTGCCTACTTGGTTCATCCCGTCATCATACATGTCTACATTATGAGCCAAAGAGACACTTTTTACTACACTGACATCAACATGGTGAGTAATACTTAAACTTTAAATTCAAACTACATTATGATGCAAAATATATTCGTACAAAATGGCGGCGTTTTTAGATGCGCCACGAAAGTAGTAGTCAACATCGTAACTCGTTTATGTTTATTTTTATTTCATTTCAGAAATTAAGTAAATCAAAAATAACTTACCTATTAAGGTGATATTTTAAACGTAAGCTCTTTTAAACAAATATGTACATTTAGTAACCATCTCCAATTGCTTCTGTACATGCTTTTGACATACTGTGGTGTTTTTTGGGTCCAGATGCGCAGGATTGCAAGGAAGATTTCCGGCTCTGTTCTTAAATTCTTCCTATCCTTCCATGAAGCTTTCTTTTAATAAGGAGCACAGATTTTGAATTATATTTAAGGTCATACACAACGTAGTTTGAACTTTATATTGGACTTTTCCATGGAGTTGAAGAGTTTCACTAAATGAAGGACCTGTGTTTAATACTTTTAATGTCTTTATATGGATTTGTAAAATTCTTTTAAACCATATTTTGTTGGAAAAAATCTGGAATTCATGTTTCGTAATTTTTGTATATTTTTCTTTGAAAAATTCAACCTTTTTCATAATTTGATATCCGAGCAAAACCCCTGGAAACGTATGCTGAATTTTTGTCTGAGAACATGTATTGGTAGTATAATTTTAAATTTAGAATATCTTCGAAAATTATCAGTAGGTAAAGTATCTTGCGTATGTCCTTAAATCTGAACTCTGGACTGGCCAGCAACGTTGTAATAATGTTCACACGCAAATAATCCTGCATTGAACGCGTACTGTGTACAGGACCATTATTGTCTTGGTAAAGATGATTTCCAGTCGGAAAATGACGAAATAAAACTGACCACAAATTGTTGACTAAGATCTGATATTTATCAGCATTATAGAAATAGTGCCGGCTCTATGCCAGGTGATACACCCCAAGATCATAACTTGGTAACATGGTTTTGTTTTGCGCGCTTCTACCAAATCTGGCCTCCACTCCCCCCCCCCCTTTCCTCCAAATATATGTAATACACTCTTGTCCTGCACAACAATCTTGGATTCATCTGAGAATATAACTTGTCTTCAAAGGTTGCCAACAGTGAGTTTTCTCTTTCTCGACACCAAGATAAACGTTTTCTCCTATTAAACTCTCGAATTACCGGTTTTTTTCTTTGCAATCCGCCTCACGAATCAATATTTATGCAGATGTAATTGTACAGTTTGTTTAGATATTGACTGTTCCTAATTTTCATTGAATTTTCCTGTCATATCCTGTAAACTCTCTCTTCTGTAGGTTTTTTCCAGCCTTTCTAGCTTTTGATAGTCTGTCGCGATAGGTCTCCTGTCTTGTCTGAGATGTTTTCTATGAAAACTTGACGCTCTACACGCTTCTTAACACTTGCGATTGTAGTCCTGGACACATCCAATGTTTCTGATATGTAGCTTTTAGTTTTTCTTTGTAATTAATTAACTCCGTCCCTTTTCGTCCCAAGTTGTGTCCGCCGGTGTAAAGGCGAATTATGACCCCCATCGAATAATGACCGGGGGGGGGGGGGGGGGTCATTTTTCAACGACAAAAAGTGACCCCCACCCGTAGAAAAAAATCAGTTTTTGTAGAAAAAGAGTCCTAGGGGTCATTATTTTATATGTTAGTCCTATAAAAATTGACCCCCATTGAAAAATGACCCCCTTTAAAGCGATACAAAATTTATAATAGATGAAAGGGAAAAATATGCTGTAAATTATTATTGTTCTTCCTTCGAGTAACTCATGCATTTATTCGAATAAGTTTGATCATAGACCTAAAGCGATTTAGGTCTATGATTTGATCTTTGTTCTTCTTAGCACGTAGGGGTAATAAAGTTCCTCATTTCTCTCTGGCGAAATATTGACAGATTAGTTTGGAGCTATTCACAATCATTCAATTAATCTTCATTTCTCTGATAAAGGAGCAAACCTAGAAAATCAAAGATGGCACATGTAAATGGATCCAACGCACGCTGGAGATGAAATTTATAAATATATATTTTTTCTTAACTGACTCTATTGATACGTTTTTTTGCAGAAAAAAAATATTTGTTGGGAAAAAGTGGAAATTTTTAGCAGACGAATTAATATCGGTGCGTACAAATAAGTAATTTGTTCGAATTAATAAGGTTTCGTTCGGACGAGTGAGTAAAAATAGAAATGGATGACAGGACGCCTCGATGCTGTATATTTTTTATATGTTCCATCCTATACATGTAGGCTATCATTATATGATTAAAGATTTTTTAAATCTTTGCAAATACATATTCTTTTTATACCCCCCCCCCCCCCCCCCACAAAAAAGAACATTACGTTAAATCCAAAAAAAAAAATTATAATAATATTATTAAAACCAAAAACCAAAAACATAAATAAAACTTTATACCTTTCAATAATACTGAAAAAGGCTTTAGATAAAATATTGAAATGAAGTTAAGCCCTCACACAAGTACTTTCATATCGTAATTTAATTCGCCATGATTAAAGCATACTTTAAATGTTGGTGGGGGTATACATGAAAGTATTGTGGTAAAGTAACAGTTGAAAATTAGTAGAATAGTAGATTATTTAAAGCTTATTTTTAGTCCCTCCTTATAGAAAAATAAATGTAGGGTAGTTTTTCGTTGATAATCGACTTCCTCCTAAATAAGTAAGGGGGTCGGGTGGGTATAACACCTAAAAATATGCTCTGTAAAGCTATGGGCTAGTGTAAAATACACATTCTAATGCAAAAACTATACATTTAGACATAACCTTTTGATTTAGCACACAGTATTCATTACATTTCTTAATTCTTGTTTTACTCTACCCTTTTACTCAGTTCTAAGTATATTTTTCAGAGAATTTAATATGAAAATCAGAACAAACATTTTCGTTTTTGTAACCTTTTCTTTATACTGTATCATAATATGAAAAGTTAATTGAAGACCATTTCTTTTTATGTCTACGTAATTGAAGATTCGGGGGTATATAGTTTTATCGTGTCCGTCTGTATGTCTGTCTGTCTACCATAACTTCTCATTTATTGGAGCTATGACTTTCATATTTAATATGTGTATTTCTTATGACAAGACCTTACTTTGGTTACCACTAAATTTGACCTTTACAATGGAGTTTGTTACATTTTACACAAAAATGCCAAATTTTTATTTTGGCCATAACTTTTAAACGGTAGATACTAGTACTCTCATACTTCACAGATATATTTTTTATGGCATGACCTTTCACTGGATACTAAAAACTTTGACCTTCTGACCTTGACCTTGGAGATTTCCGTACTTATGAAAAAAAACTAACCTTGGCTATAACTTTTGAACGGTAAGGGCTAGGGTTTTCATACTTCAAATAATTATGTAATCCTTGTTACATTATACCTTTCTTAAGAAACCATCAACTTTGACCCTTTGACCTTTGAGTTTGACCTACCTTTCAAAACACTTATCCTTAACCATTACTTTTGAACAAGTGGTGCTAGGTCTTTCCTATTTTGCAATTGTATTTCTTGTGAGAAGACCCTACGTTGGGTACCAATATACTTAAGGAGGCTAGTGGGTCAACTAATAATTTTTTTTATTAACCACCAGATAACTTAAATTTTGGGATATGATATCTTAAGCTGTCAACTATCACTTGGCAAAGAAAAATTACATAAATTTTAGCTTTAAAATTTGGTCATTTTATTATATCTTTATATGGCTCTCTTCTTCTAATGGAGATCAAAATAGTCTAAAAATAGCCACGACCACCCAGCCTCTTTCAATTGCATTTAAGAAAAGTTTAATCTTCGCTATATTGCCATACAGTGGCATAGCTGTTTCACAAACACATCTTTTTATATATAAGAGGAGCTGCGGATTAGAGATGGATACCCCAAAGCGTAACAGACGGACGGACATTCCGATCACTATATATATACCCTCCAGCTTTTCAAGCGGAGGATATAATAATATATAATACTGCTGATTTTTTCTGTCAGTACGATGATTTTCACCATCGAAAAACAATGTTTACCTAACCCTTTAGGCTCGATAAATCTTTTACTCCTTTAGATTCTGAATCATCGCATTGACCTTAAAATATAGCTATAATTGTATAATGTTATGAGATCAACATATTCCCAATAAGCTCGGGTGAGCATTTTGCCCAATATGCTTCTTTATCTAATTTTTTTTATGCCCCCTAAAAATTTCAGCTTTAATCCACAGGGGGTCATTTTTCTACGGGGGTCATTTTTCTTCACGTGGGTTCTGCAAATTTTTAGGGTGGTGACACTTTTTCTACGGGCAAAAGGGTCATTTTTCGACGTCGAATAATGACCGGGGGTCATTTTTCGCCGTAGAATATTGACCGGGGGTCATTTTTCGCTATCGAAAAATGACCCCCGGTCATTATTCTATGGGGGTCATTATTCGTCTTTACACCTGTTCAGATTTGTTTACGTTGCAGACGACAATAAAATCACGTAAGACGAAATGTCACATGATTAAAAATGTTATAAATAACTACCGAAATTCCAATCTCTACTTATAAACTACTTTATTTCCCTATAAATAAGTAGGTCGAAACGCAAATATAAACACGCCGCCATTTGCTACGAAAGTATACTGCATCACCCTGTATTTTTTCAGGCCAAATTTAAAGAAAAATGTTTGGTTGTCCTCTCCCAACTATGTCTGAAAAATATTGGGTCGGTAGGAAGTCATAAAAAATCAAGTTGATTATTTTTTTTCTGAAAATTTCAATGCTAATTTAAAAAAAAATTATATTTTCTAGAGTACAAATAAAAAAAAAATGATTGCTTCCTGGGGGTTAAATTTTTTTTGAGTCTGGTCATTTTTATTTAGTGTGTCAGGACAGGGCAACCAAATAATTTTATAAAGCGTCATCTGTTCCATTTTGGATATAGGAGATCTTTCAGGGAAAATATCTTCAATCAAGATCACACTTCATCTAAAGATTATGGGAGCAACATGCTGCTTTTAACGGGGTTTAAAGACTAATTTGGACCCATGGCTAAAAAGTTATATATTCTCAATACTAGCTGTTTGTAGACAGGATATGTACTGATCTTTGACTCTGAGATATAAGATATTAATGTAAGTTGGCGTCTTACTTAGACTTATTGGAATATAAAAGATCCAAGCTAGACATGATTTTATGATAGAAAGACTATTGTTACAAAATTAACTGCAGTGACCTTACTAAAATTGGAAGACCGGGGGTCAAGGTGGGGGGGGGGGGCACAGATCACCCATGTAAGCATGATTGTCAACTTTAACGTCTCGTATGTTAACTGAACCACCCTACCCCTGGGGGTAATGATTTGAAGAAACTTGAATCTACACTACCTGAGGATAATTTCACATGAGTTTCATCTTTCCTGGTCCAGTGGTTCTTAAAAAGAGGATTTTAATTCACAAACTTCAGACTATATATTGACAATGTAGCATTAGATTTAGACACATGAAGAAAAAAAAAACAACTTAAGATCAAAAACCAAAGGTTGTTTCTCATTAACTTTCAGTCAGTGATTAATTACCGGGTATTTCAATTTTAAGAAATATTGACTGGTGTAGGGTGGAAGGTCCTTTTACATTATAATTTTACTTTTTCTAGGTCTTCCTCTTTTTGGGATTTTGGATGGCAACGTACGGAGTGGCTTTCTTTGTTTCCATGGCGTTTGAAGCACCAATGATAGGACTAGAAAGACTTCTTCTGAGAAAAAACTAAGATAAACTCTGTTATGATCTGTTATCTTTTGATAATTTTTTTAATATTCAAAATTTATAATTTTAAAATCATTTTTACAGATATACAAGTGATTTTGTATATAATAATTATATCAATCCAGGGTTTTTTACGAACTGAACTGATTACATGTACAAAAGCTTTATAAAACTACTATATGGGGAAATATTTATCTTTCAATTTGTCAAGTCTGCATGACCAGCTTTGTAGATCTGATAAATATGGTATATGTTAGCTATATTACATGTACATATATCATGTTTATTACCTTTATTTATTTATTTTTTAGTGTTTTACTTTAACCCCTGATGAAGTGATTAACTAATGTATCAACAACATGACCATTGTTAAGAGATCTGCTTAATATACTGAAAGAATTTTTTGTTAAATATTATATTCATAAACTTCCCTATCAGTAGTAAACATACTTTACATCAAAAATAAAAATATTTATATGTAATTTAAAAAAAAAAAAAGATGTGAATGTATTTAGCTATCTGAAATCTGAAACATTGTAATAAACATTGTTTATGTATAAATATTTAATTTTGAAAATTTGTAGACGCATCACAAAGATAAAGTTATAATTATACAAGTAGAACCGTATTTGGTTTTCTACTGTTTGTGTTATAATCAGCACACAGGAGTTTATCAAGTGTCTGTGAATCTATTTAAGATTTTGTTTTTTTTTTGGTTGAAAATTCTTTCCCTGATTTGAATAAGACATTCAATAGATTTAGATTACAGAGTGATATAAAGTATTATGATCATTGAAAGATGAGGCACTTATATTTTGAATAGAATAAGCTGGCTGAGATTAATTCAGAATCACTGCATTTCATTTCCGGAAATCTACATAGAATTTCCGACATTTCTTTATGTCATTTACGACAATTTTTCTTTTCATTTCCGATAGTTATTTCTTTTCATATCCGGAATTTTTGCAATGTGCATCTTCGATAATTTAATGTTCATTAAGCCTACTAAACAGAAAAAAGAATTTTAAAAGAATTGATTTCAAACTTCAGTTTCAAAATCATGATAAATATATATATATATATATATATATATATATATATATATATATATATATATATATATATATATATATATATATATATATATATATATATATATATATATATGTAGCACAAATCCTATTTGAAAGACTTCAATGAAGCATGCGATTTTTTCATCTCATTTAATGTTCACTAAATTAAATGTCAATGACTGCACCGAAGGTATATGCAAGACATTTGATATATACATGTGCTATAAATTTTTTCTTTTAATTTTTCCATAAGTAAAATCTTCTATCCTGCTTTCATTATACCGAGAACTACCTGAAAAATGTCGGAAATAAAACCTTTAAAATGTCTGAAATGAAAACTTTAAAATGTCGGATGGAGAAATTTAGAATTCTTGAAATGAAATGCAGTCTTAAGAATAATTCCCTAGCTTCTCTTTTTTAGTAGGATTTTAAAACAATACTTGTTCCGGTTGTAGAATACATGATGTACAAATTCTAAAAAAAAGTCCAAACAATTTTCACTTTCTAACTCAACCAGAGTTATAAGGAACATAATTCCATAGAATGTTTAATTAAATTTTTTTCCAATCTTAAAAATGCTTATACACAGATTTGATGTTAATATTTTCTCACATTTTCTGTATAATTTCATAACTTATATGTTGCTGTAGCATCTCCACGAAAATACATGTATAATTAAAAATCTTTTGTGGAAGTTATTGAAGCTTCAAATTTCTAGACGCGTTTGATTGACACTCCCTTATTTAGAAAAGACTTGTCATAGGTAATACACATGTTTATAATATGATAGCTCTTCTCAATCAAAAGTATGGTCAATTAAAAGAAGTTTTCAATTTTTATAATAGTAGGTGAAATTTCAAAAATCATTGCGTATTTCAAAAGGTCTATTCACAGGCAATGCACAGGTTTAATGTGGAAGCCCTATCTCTTCTCTTTGAGAACTTAGTACCTGATTTATCTAAGTTTTTTTAAAAGAAGGTCAAACTCTAAGATCAAGGTCACAACGTTAGCAATAATAGTGTATTAAAAAAAGTCTTGTCACAGTTAATACACATGTTTAATGTGATAGCCTTATCTTGTATCTCTTCTTATTCAAAGGTTATGGCCCGTTCAAAATTTTTTGGAAGTAGGTCAAACTTCAAGGTCAAGGTCAGGGGGGCAATTTCATAGGGTATTTAGAAAGGTCTTGTCGCAAGCAATAAACATGAAATGTGACAGACCTAGGTCTTCTCATTTAAAAGATATGACCAAGGTTAATTTTTCTGAGATGGACGGACAGAACTTCTGACTAAAAGACGAACGAGATTTAAATGCCCCCTCTCTTTTGCGAAAGCTTGGGACAATTAATCGATTCAGCAAAAACAAATGGTTTAAATGTCTTCATCAGTGTTTTATTATGCTACCGTGCTAGCCCATCATTTTTTAAAGATAAGCTTGTACTGTTGTAAGGGTCAACGACTGTCCCGATTATCGAGGCGATGTCTATCTCTCGATACTACCCGCCCTCAAATTCGAGTATTCTAAGAAGAGTGCGCAGCTGGTTAAAAGATATAAAAAAAGTAGAAAAAATTAAATTTCAATGCGATAAAAAGGGAATATTAGTAAAGATAATAGTTCAGGAAACAGTATTTACAGTTTAAAGATATGTAAAAACACTAATATACAAAGCATCAAATCGGCCGCAAACAAAATCTAGCATTTCAAAAACTACTTTCACAATTTTATAAAAGCATTCAAGCAAGAAAAGCACTTGTCAAGATATTCAAAGCTGAAATAGCACCAGCACTTGATCATTTTAATTTCAGGCTGTCTTCAAAGCAAAATAAACAAATATTTAAAAAAAATATTATGAAAATTTTATTGCCTTTCCCCATCAATTGGATTGAATGTTATAAAGTCAATGATTAATGATGAGAAATTGCCATCAAAATGAAAATGAACCACGTTCTGATAACCTGGATCTTTGTCACTTGATAATGCCAATGGTTTCTAGAGTAGGCTATGCTGCATAGTGCGGTGCAAATGGAGAAAATAATTATCATTGTGTCATTCGCAGTTGTAGCATATTCAAAAAAATTCAAGTTTTCAATTTTTTTTTTCACGATGCACCTTTATTACGTCGTTCTTATCCGGAAAATCATGACGATTTCCTTTCGAATCTTACACACTCCCAGGATTGGGAGTACCTATTGTAAACTCTTTTTATTTAACCATAAATCATCAATTATCTGATGCAAAATGAAAATGTAATTGAAACATAATAATAACGATTAAAGCTTAAGTTAGAGCATGTATTTCAATATTATACTCATGATTTTATACATGTTATCAATTCAGAATTGTTTTACTGAACTACCGGGTAATGATAAAAATAACATCTGATTTCCCCATGTGCTCTTTCTAACACAACCACAAATAGATCGGCCACTAATAATTTAGGTCTGGGGTCATTCAGTTTGCTTACTTCCATTTTGAAATGTTCAACGTCTGGAAGTGAGACAATACTGCCCAGAAATCTGTTCCACTGAACTGTTGTAAGAGTGAAAAAAAGTATTTATAAATATTTTTTGTAGTTTTATCTGTCGAAAGGTGAGGGAATGAGATGTACGAGTAGTGCTACCGGGGGAAATGAACTGAACTGAGGAGATGGCTTCCAGACCATGTATGATCTTATACATAAGTACACTGTATAAGCCTTGCATCCGCCTTCCTTTGTTGTAATCTTCGCCAACCTAAGGTGTCGTTGTGTAATAGATACGAGACAATCGATGTTCTTCTAAAATGTACATCCGGATCTGTATATAGCATGTTTAGTGCACCAAGGACAAGTCTAACGTGTTCATATTGTAGACATCGTCAACGTTTTCTGAAAGAAACTCCACAGACGCATGGATGTCTGCCTGAAAACATACTCTGAAAATATCTTAGGTAAATCCTCTCGTTTCGAATTTATCTTTCTGATTTTTTTTTCAGATTTGCTACATGCATGATTATATTGTAATTATATTTCAGTTTCTCTAATACTGATGAGAACAGGTGAAGCTAATTCAATGAAATATATACATGTAGTAATTGGCGCCGTTCAAACCGGCATACGCATTTCAAAACCATGCTTATAAAATTAAGATAAAGCAGATGAATTTTATATTACTCAACACAATGAAAGTGAAGGAAATTTAGATTCGATCTATAAAAAAAAATAATAGGTGTTCTCGCTCAATTTCTTGCAAAAAATTTAAATCTTTGCAATCTTCATACCACTGGAGACATTTTGAATCACGACGTTATATATCGCCAGACTAGGCCTAGTGCGACGTTATTTTTCCGTATGCCTGTACGACCAGAATAAAATATGAATTTACTTCTGCTTCTGCCATGTAATGCCCACAATCAACTGGCTGATTATTATGGCATATGTGGTGCGCATGGAGTTACCAAAATAAAAAAAGGTTTTAAGGTTAAAATAATGATTACAATTTTAGGTGGTATCATGAGACCTAAGGATCTCAAGTGTATTTGCCGAGACTATCCCTAGTGGTAGGTTGTTTCACCCTTTGATGGCACGAGGGTATATGAGAATTTTCGATAGTCACCTTTACAGGATGGTATTTGGTAAGCTTTATGATAGGTATGTCGTGATTGACGTAATGATGGAATAAGTCCTTCACATTTGTTAACGGCAACTTCGTAATGAAGAATTTTATGAAATAGGATAAGTCTGAGGATTCACCAACGCTCTTCAAGTGTCTGTTATTGTAGATGTTGAATCATGCTGATCACAATTGATCTGTTTTGACGTTACCATGCCTGTTGCTTTCGTAACATGCAGCACGTCGCTGGACCATTTCCATGTTGTGGATGTCTTTTGGGGTGTAGGGGGTCCCAGACAGGTGCCGCATACGCCAACTGAGGTCTGACCACAGGTGCTTGAGTACAGGACCCCCCTCCCCCCTCGATATAGAGTCCTGGTCTTTTTCGACTTTTTTTTCTCATAAATAATCTTTCATTGACATATTTGTGATAAGATCTATACCAACAAATCGAAGAATTACCTAAAACAAACGTTCTATAAAATCTACCCTACATTCTATATATTAAAATCAACTTTATACAGAGAGAGTGGGGTAGGTATTTTTATAAAATGTTAGTTTAAGCAATTTTTCTGAATTGATGGGAAAGATTATATCACAAATATGTCATCCATATATAATTTATGTGAAAAAAAGTCTGACAGGGCCGGGGATCTATATTGGGGGGGGGGGGGGGGGGGTCCTGTCCTCAAGTACCTGTGGGTCTGACTTTTTTTTTCATTCACTCTCCTTTATGGATGTTGAGCTGATGTTTAAGCATCTTCGCTAGCCAAGGGTTTCTGTTACGCTCCTCTCCTCATAAACTCTTGGCATACGGTGAAGTCAAAAGACGGGATTGTTTTCCGTCATCTATCAGGTACGCACAGATTGCGTCATCGCCAGAAATAAAGACACGTGTTAAAAAAAATTAAATCAAAGTTTTTTCAAGAATAATTAAGCAGCAATAATTGAGTTATGTTTATTCATTATTTATAGAACAAATCTGAAGCTTCAATATAGATTCTTAATCACATATTTAGAAGATATTGGATGACACCATGGCTATTCATAGAATTGAATGTTATCTTACGGATCGTTGTTTTCTTGCGTTTTTCATTTCCGAGATTAAAGAGTGAAGATGTATCCCGAACGCAAATATCGTCATTTACAAAAAAACAATTGCTAATTGGTCGACCTAGGTGTACTGAAATCCAATCAGAACTCTGAAAAAAATCCCGATTTCTATGAATACCGTAGGCCAAGGGTTTATGAGGAGAGTAGCGTATCGGAAACCCTTGGCTAGCGAAGATGATGTTTAAGTTTCGGCGAAGAAATCCTAAGGTCTTATTACCTTTGTAGAAGATGTTTCAGACAGTGAGTGTGCCAAGGATGCCAGGGGAAATATAAATCTTGCTCTGTAATCCTTTCAATTGTTTCATCCTCGTTGTGTTTAGATAAAAAAAATGTATTTAGAATGAAACCCAGCATATTTATCTTTTGACAGATGCTTAATCCATCTGAATGGCTCTCCAGAAAACTGTATTGCTGAGCTCTGTTCTCCTCTCAGTGTGTTTGGGTGCCCTACAGAACCACAGGAACGTTCCTCAGTACCATGAGCTGATAAGACAGGGTCACACCAAGCTAACTCAGGGGGAGTCTGAACCCGATTTTATCCACAGATTCAATGGCACAACTATCTTACAGGTTAGGAATATTAATGATCCAGAACCATTTGTTTCATTGGATTGAATGTTAAATCTAAAACTTTGTTGCTTTCTATACAGATGCTTTGTCTTTTATGAAATTTAAAAAAAAACTGGGAGGTTTTTAATTTTGCAGAAAATGTTATCACTGGACTCAATGTATAACCAGGCTCTGCTCCTAAAGAAGGAATTTATGACTGATCTTGGGTCTCGAATCAAAATGTCGGCGGGTTGCAGAGATGGATTTCAGCTATTACTTGATGGATTGAAGGAGAGAAGTCTCTGGTCTCTAAAACGTAAACACATGCTTTTCTTCTGCCATATATATGATAAGTATAAAAAAGATATCTTGGTCTTTGGATAGATTTCATTTTCTTGAAGAATACTTCAGTGGAAAACAACAAACATCATCAAATAAATGGGTACTGCAAATTTTGCAGGAACTTTTTTAGACTAGAAAGATAAATGGCTGCCCTTCATTCCAAAATTAAATGTATATTTGGATTTAAAATTTCATACTCACTTCCTGACTGATGTGCTCAAGTCACAGATTTTGTATTTCAGTGCTTGATTCCATAGGAAAAGTTCCCAGTGGTATATTTGAGGGTGATTTCATGTGGCTCGGTCAGTATGATGAGTGTAATGCAATCAGTCAGGCATTCACAGACAGAATCACTTATAACGAGACTTTCCTGGTTCGAGGGAAATACTTTGTTGCAGAATTGTGGAATCCTTTCGTAAGAGTTTGCATGGTTTTTTGAAATTGCAAAACATAAGACATATGCCTTAGTGTTCCCAGGGTGGTAATGTTATGACAGCTTCATTTTTTTCATGTTACTCTTCAGACTATAAGATAATTTTGTTAGGATTTGTATGGTAAATTCCAAACATATAATTTATTTTTAAATATTTGTGCATTTAAAAAGCTTTAATCAATGCCTAGACATGTCACATCTCAATTTCAGATTTAATTGGTTATGCATTCCTTTATGGGAGTGACATCTAGCTGATTGTAGACATGAATGCTATGGTAATGCTAGAGATTTGTAAAATACAAAATTAAATGACCATAAATGCTATTTCTTTTTTACAGGGATATAACTCCACTGATCTAAGGATGGGAGTCTGCCTGCCTGATGCATGTACTGCGACTGATGTTAAAGAAGTGCTGGAATTAGGTCTGAACTTCAAATTTAATTAAGACTGGTAAAACTAAATTTTTAGATGTATCTATTTTGATTTCAAAAAGATGTTTGTTAGATTTCTAATAGTTTAATAATTATAATATATCCATTGTTATGATATTCATACAAGTCTTGAGAAAAAATTATTTGTAAGGAAAAACCATTATTACATGTATGTCTTATTAAAACTGGAAGTATTTTTTAGTCATCAAAAACAATGTTGTTACTGCAAGCATGCATAGATTTAATATGAACAGAATATCGCTGAGAAATCCTTAATAAATATGTGACAGGGACATGTGAAGTACTAATTCTAGATTGTGCTGACCATTCAATGCCGGCCAGCAACTGTGTAGAATCTTTAATACATCAATTTATACACGCATACTGTATTTATATGAAACATTGCTATAAAACAAAAAGAACACCACCTCAATACTGCATATTCAATATACTGTAAATTAATTTTCATAAAATGGTTCTTCATTTGTATCAAGTACTTGACATTGGAACAAGTACATGCACTAACCATGTTTCTCTCAAGATTAGATGCCACTATTTTCTAGATAATGTTAGAATAGACAAATCTTCTTTCATTTTCCATCATTGCAAAACTTGTAGATCATTGCTTCAGATGAAGGAAATTTGATTTTCAGTACATTTTTTGCTTTTCAGCATTTTTTGAGCTGTATCAATATACAAATAAAACAATCAAGCTTTCTCTGAAATATGTGTATCATCAAGAGACAAAGTACAGGAGCACTCCAGAGTTTATTACTGCAAGGTAATAGTACTTTATAAAATATTGTATTTCTTGCATATTTCGGTAAATTATTCTTTTATGTAAATTAATAGACCAGTTTAGGAAAAATAAACTTTGAATTCTTAAATGAGATTATTTGGTTAAAGCTAGAACTTCGTGAACATGTAGTAAAAAATTTTTTCAAAAAAAAAAGAATTACTTTGTATTTTATTCGTTTAAATAAACTATTTTAGAAATAAATTTACAGTTTAAATACTATCAAAAAACACCAGTTTAACTGTTTTGCCGGCTCTTGAGCTTGTATATTATATTTTTCAGTGTGATCTGTTCTATCATTGGCTTTCTGTTATTACTGGGCACTCTTTACGACATGTTTATAAATCAAAATTTCGACTCCTCGAAAATCGGAGATGTGAGGGTTGATAGACAGGATAGTGATGCACAGTCCGTTAATTCGGACACCACGCATCTGCTGTCGGACCGAACTCGAGTATCTGTCAATGCATTCAGAAACAAGGTCTTACACAACAGTAAGTACTCCATTTGATATACCTGTGCAGAGTGTGGAAATTTATGACTCAGCTGTTATTATGCATGATACATATACTGTATGTTTATTTTTTTAGGTAAATTAAGGAAGTTTTTACTGACTTTCTCAGTCAGCACCAATGGCAGTAAAGTTCTCAACACTGATGCGCTCCCTCCTACCGCATTGCCCGCTCTCAATGGGGTGAGGGTCCTGAGTTTGGGCTTGATCATTTTGGGTCACTCCCATTGCTTCGAACTGGGCATTGCAAGTACGTCTGTACCTAAGATTACCTGTTTGCTTGTGTTGCAATTTCACATTCTTGCATTAAAAGCCAGGCATTGCCTGTAATTTTTGGTTGATGTATTAAAGAAAAGGTACTGGTAATTTGTATAGAGTACATCATGTCAGCTTCATAGTGAACTATTTGTTGAAGTGACATATGGCTTGTTTGATGAAATTGAGGGCACAGATTGATTTTTTGAGAGTTAATTCAATGAAAACTTGTAAAGGCTAGATTTTATGTAGAGTGTACTCTAGCACTCAACAGATGTGAGAGCGTGAGAGCCTGGAGAATTTTAGATGTTTTAAACCTTTGTTTAATTTCCCTCTGTAATATTTTTCCTACAGAAAATCCAGCTGTATTTCTGAACTTGGTACAAAGATGGACCTCACAGATTGTCATCAATGGACTCTACTATGTGGATTCATTCTTTCTGCTCAGGTATTTTGAAAGCAATCAAGTATTTTTCCAAATATCTTTTTATATCTGTCAATAGAAAAAAAATAATTTTGATGAAATAACTCAAATACTGCATGTATGTATAATTGGGGTTGTGTATATGCTAGCCTTTTAAAGGGCACAACTTCCCCATTATTGTGTAAAGATACATGTAGGTCAGAAGTTCAACTGATAAATGTCATACTCCACCTTAGTCTGGTCCTGACTTTAAAAAAGAAGACTAAAAATAAGTTTTAACAGCAAACTATTCAGGGATGGGGTAATCGTAATCAGTAATCGTAATCAGCTGTAATCGATTACAGTTTGCCAAGTAATCATGAGTAATCAGTAATCACCCATTTTTCTGATTACAAGTAATCGTAATTTAATCGATCACTGTGAAAAAAGTCCTGTAATCATGATTACTTTTTGATTACTTTATGATTACAATTTTGAAAACAAAGTTCATAAAATCATGATTTTTGATGATTTTCAGTCGATATTTTTCAGTGTATAAAATTGTTTATTGAAAAAAAGTTAAAGAATTATAAGCTATATTTAATAATCTTCTTCTAATATCTCCAGAAATGCTTATAATCAGGTCCATTGTCCTGGCAATGAGTAAATTCTATCAGTTCCTTGCTATATTCGGTATTCATTTCAAAATACTTTAGCAGCTTAGCAATTCGCTATTTTTGACAAGATATATGTATAAATACTGATAGAAAATTACTACAGGATCATTTTAAAGTTTGATTTATTTTGTTTCAAATTTAATGAACATGTGTGTAATGCAACAATTTGTTTTCCCTGTAAATCTTTGAAAAAACTTGTTTTTTTTTAATAGCAAATGTTCCTTTATTGAGACATATTCTAAAATTCACTTTGTTTGATTTACAGTGTACATGAAAAGATAATGTGAATTAATTAGTCATAAGACACAGATATACTAAAGTTGGGTCAGCTTGGGTAACAGTAATTATTGAACTATCCATGTTTGTCCAGTCAATGTGTTAATTCCTGTAAAAACATCTAATAATTGGCAGTTTAATTGAAAAGTCTATCACTCGTTGAGAAGGTCAATTACTTGTGTAACAGTTCCCTATCGAATCCCTTTATCCCTACCTACAATTATGTCCAGTTTGATTTATTAAAAAAACTATAATAAATTCTTTTTTCTATTTCTCTCAACAGTAACAAGATATTTACTTGTATTAAAGATAGAAATCAGGTGATATAAGATAAATCTCATGTATCTAAATAAAGACATATACAACCAAACTTTGTCTGAATTCTACCTTAAAAATGTTAATGATATTTAAAGAAAGATGAATAAAAACATGCCGTTGTCCTTGAAAATTAAACCAAAAAAATTAATAAAACTTAATGTAATCTAAAGTAATCATAAGTAATAATGATTACATGAAGGAAAAGTAATCAGATGTAATTGATTACTTTAAAAAATGCTTGTAATCAGCTTGTAATCGATTACTTTTAAAATCCAAAGTAATTGTAATTTAATCGATTACTTTTGAAAGTAATCGACCCCATCCCTGAAACTATTATGATTTGGTCCAGTAAAATACACAGACTGCTTAATTCTGAGTCGTTTTGCAGAAAATAAATAACAATTAGCATTTTTCAATTAATAGAATAATGTTCAAATATTCAATTAATAGAATAATGTTCAAATAATTGTTTTAAGTTTGAGGATATTGTTGTTAATGACTTAGGATTTTTATGACTCGGATCTTTGTTTAATTACTTCTAATATAAAAATAAAATTTTGACGACAATTTCGAAGACATTTTACCTAATAACTGCCTCACCATGCTTCTTCATATAAAAAGTTAATATCATACAACAATTGCTGTTTAGTGGACAATATGACAATCAGTATTACCCGAGCATAAGGAAATTGTAGTCCGCGGGTTTCTAAATCATATCAGTTGTTGGAAATTCTTGATTTTTAGTCCAGTGTAGAAAAAAAAAATAAATGTTTGTGTTCATGTAAAAGGTCTAAAGCAACATAACTTTAAGGTATTCAATGTATAACGACCATATTTTGTACCTAATGAATGAATGATCCGATGTCATGGTAGCATTTTGAAGATGTTATCAAATAAAAATGCTTCACCAAAGGAATTTACAAAATTTTAATAATTGTCCAGTAAATTGCAACTTGAATTTTATATTCAAGTCTATGGGCAACGTATGTTTTATTAGATATTGTAAATTGTAATTTGAATTCCAAACAAATTTCTTGGTGAAAATATGCATAAAATCCCTCTTTCTGAAATTATGAAATAATTAAATTATTGACCGCAGAAATTTTATGAAATCGAATTTTTTTTTTCTTTTTATTAAGTGCTGACTAGAAGTTAGGAATGGCTTAGGCCTATTGGTACGAAAGCTTGTACATGATAGGAATTACGAGGAATCTGCAGGTGCTCTTAAATGGCACAAGCATACAACTTTTCTCACCAAAATATATATGCACACAATGTGATTCCAGATGATAAAGTTTGAGAATTTTGATGCTAATAGAATGGTCTTTCTACCAAAAAAGACAACAAATCTATACGGTAACAAAAGAAAAAGCTACATGTCTTTGAAATCAGAGTTTTTTTTCCAGTTTTGCATAAGGTTTTGGAAGTCAAAATACGCTTTTAACATTTGAGCATAAATGTTTGTTCCGTTTGTTACTTGAGTACTGAAATAACCAAAATTCTGAGGACGCACTGAAACATAATTATAGAGATTTCAAAAGCTAGTACAAAGGGATCGATGAAATCGGACAAGAACTTCGTCAGGTATATTTGATCGTGTGCCGAGGAATGTTGAAGTGGAAGTGCGAGTTGATAATGACAGCGATTCATCAGTGATTCTAGGTGGAGATGGGTTCAAAGACTTTGTAACACGGTCAAATATGAGGAAAACATTTGGAAATTCTTAAGTCGGGTTTGTTTTCACTATTTCAGGGAAAAAATGAAACTTTTCTAGCATTTTTTGTTTGTTTGTTCATAAATTGACTAATCAATTTAATCGGCAAAACTCAGAAGGAAAGGACACCGAAAGAAATCCCTCAGTCTATTAACTTTGCTATACCTTGGAAAAAAATATCATATTACTCTGTCTCCTCTCATCAATTATTATGGAAAACATAGTTACTGTTCGCTGTATGTGTGAGGGAGGGAGAAAGGTGATTGGATGGTTGAAGATAGAGTGAAATGTGGTGATATTGGTTAAGTCATTATTTGCTGAGTGACGAAGCAGTCTTTGGTTCTTCAAGCAGTGCTCTAGTACTCACTGTTTGTCTGATTTACTTAGGTTTTTAAGTATCCTCTTGCACCTCTAGCTGTTATCATACTAGCATAAGGTATATTGAGGTGTCATTGCTCATTCTTTCTAGAGATAATAGTCACTTAAACACCTGTAGAATGCGAATAGAACCTTTCTAAAGCCTGTAACTATTCATTTTCATTTAATTCGGCGATAAATCAGTCTTTTCCAAAGCTTCAGAAAAAATATATTAAATGCAAATCACTCATTGTAAAACATATCAATCAAAGATTGAAGAGAATGAAAATTAACTGATAAAAATGTCTAGTTGCATAACAAATATACAGTGTCTACTTAGGAATTATGCATCTCATTCTTTTTTATGCATGCAAGGCGAGCACAATGTCAGACAGTATGGTATTATTAAGATACACCATATGTCGTTGTAGTCTTTTATTAATAATTAACAGCTGATTAATGAGATAAGATTGATGTTCTTAAGCTTGGTTGTTTGCTGCAAACTTATAAAATGGTACATTGCAAAAGTTTCTTTTCGAATATTTAAATTGTAAGTAACAGAAGCACCATCATTGAGGAGGTGGGGTCCTGCCATCAACAGTAATGAGAATTGTTTATCAAGTATATTTTTAGAATTTTATACACACAGCTTTATCAAAAATGATAACAAATAATGGGGGTAAATGCGCTTCTTTTGGTGCTATAGAGCTTTTGATTTAACCTTTTTGCAGTGTTAATACAAAATTAAAAATTACACAAATACTAGTATCAAATTTTAAAGTTTTTCCTGCAATATTTTTGTTCAACTAATGATAGGAACAAATACTGTCTTATTTCATATTAAACAGACACATTCAAATTTGTAACAACGAAGGAATTTTAAATTAAATTACTCCGCATGTTCAATTATTTTGGCCTTTTTGCACTCAATCATTTTCATTTTTCCTTGCATTTAAAATTTTACAAGCAAAAAAATCATTTGAAAGTAATGACATTTTACTGAGTTTAAGAAGAATGGTTAAAAATATCATATATATATTCAGAAAAGAAAATTAAAACTGGGGGTTTGTGATGTTAATTTTAAGAAATTACTGAAATGGTGATAATTTTAAACTTAAATAAGGGCATTTTCCCCCTTCCTTTTCACAATGTATTTGCTATATTTATCAAATATAATGATAAGATTCATGACAGTTAATTAATAGATAATCTAGGACCAGTAAAAAAACAATCCATTGCAAGTCTGTGGGCAGGCTGCGTGTAAACACAGGAATCCAAAATTAACGTATACTTAAACTATTTCGAAAGACTAAAAATGATAATTTTCTTCTGAAAAACCTTTCGCCACAAAATATTGTTCATCACTTAATGCTTTCTATGGAGGTAATCCTAAACAAAGCAGAATATTGAATTGTTTATTGAGTGTTTAAACGATTAATTTCTCTGAATTAAAGTAATAATTTTAGCATTTCATTATCATTTGTAAAGTTACATTACACTGAGTGAGATTTTCACACATTAATTCTCCTTTCTGAACGACATTATATAAAGAGAAAGTGAGAAAAATTTGATGCCCCCCATTTTGACCTTTTCAACGCATTTTCATGAGGGCCAGCATATTTTTCGGATTTAGCATACTCGAATTAGGTTTAAAAAACTATGCTGGACTACCAATTATTTGCCATTACAGTTATTTTTTTTTTATAAAAAACCGGCCAGACTTGCAGTTTTATACACATTATACACTATACATGCATATCAAAGAAAGACTTACTGTAAACAAACTTTTAGTCGCAAGAACTTTATTTCGCTATTAACCGGGGGTAAACTAGTTTGCGATGATAATTTGTTTTTGCCATCAAGCCTTTTTTGAGATCGATTGCTTATAGACAAACTTTAGGGATCAGTTCGTAACCAAATATTCGCGATGAAGAGACTCTCGGGAAAATTTCTCGCACGCGAGTATAATTTGGTTTACAGCATTTAATTTTTATATATGATATATGTTTGATCAATGTTTCCATTCAGTTGATGAAAAGAATTCTATTTTCAGCGGTTTGTTGGTGAGTTATTTGACCCTCAAAGAGTTACAGAAAAGAGACGGAAAGCTGAACTGGTTACTATTTTACTTCCATAGGTTCTGTAGGTGAGGTTTTATTCATATTTTACAATGACTTTTCTTTTTCAACTCTTTAATATTCATCTACTTGCATTTCAAAATGATATAATACTGCAAAACATTTGTGTACAGTACAGTACTTGACAGAAATATACTATTCAGGAAGCTTGAGTAAATTTGATGAAGTACATATCTAAATGTTAATTATGTGTTCCAGACATTAAGCAATGTACCTGATCTAGTAAGAAGCTGCTTGCCAGGTGCTAACGAATAAACGCACCACCTTCCGTAAAGTCACGAGTATTGGACGCACTTTTTTCGTCAGAAAATCGTTCAAAAGTAGGGTTGCACTCGAAAAATACGAACTAAATACAACCCCCTTTTTTCCAGATCACTTTCTCAGTGCCGAGGACCATTTCCTGATCCATTTTAATTGACTACTCTTTGTAACCAATGTCATAAAAGTTACTCTAAATTCAGAGAGTTCATCTCTTCTTCTGGTAGGGAGTTGGACTCTATTCAGAGTGTTGATAACTCCAGCTCGGTTAAAAACAGGAGGATTCCTCTTTACAAACAGAAAAAAAAAACTATTTACAATGTAGCTTGTCTCGTCTACCAGGGTTTCAGCTGGGTCCAGGGGACGCTGTTTAGTCCAGTCCTAAACTCCTCGATAGTACGGGCTGCTAGCTGTAACTGTCTCTGGTAGGCGGTTCCAGTCTCTCACCGACCGTATGAAGAAAGAATTCTTGTAGACCTCCTTGGTAGCTAGGGCTGTCTGTATCTATGGCTACCTCTAGTTCTTCTGTCCCCAGGTGGGTAATACTTGCCTGAGTTGATGTCCTCCAGGTGATTCCTTATTTTGTAGCATAGTATTAGTCGATGCATTGTTCTCCTATGTTGGAGCGAGTCCTACTCTAGTCGTTCCAGTAGTAATGTTACTCAGGGGAGGTATCCGTGTACTGGTTAAAGACGAACCTGGCCGCTCTACGCTGTACCTGTTCTAGATCCTTTGTTAAGTTGGTCTGGTTAGGATCTGACACTGGTGAATATCAGGCTTGGGGTCAATTACTTTGAAATATAAAGAATTACTTTCAAATACATTGATAATTTTGTCAATTACTTGCAATTACAATTACATTGATTTTTTCAAATGTAATTAATTACTTTCAATTACTTTGACAAATGTAATTAAATACGTCTCAATTACTTAAATTCAGTTTTATTTAAAAAAAAATTTTTTTGTAAAAAATAAGATTTTTCCTATAGTGAACTTTTATTAAGTGTTTTTGTTCTTGGGTATGAGAGGGGTTCAGACCTGTACAGACTCTTTAGACCTTTACTTAATGACTTGGGCAGTGTGACACACTGTATAAACAAATTTAATTAAACACTATGAGACATTTAATTATTGTACAAACGCAAGCCCATGCTACACCAGTATGGTGTATGACAAGTTTGTTCCTTTCTCGAACTTATATTTTTTAATAAAATCAATTAATATTTTTTCACAAATATATTCATCATTTTCTATCTTAGAATGTATAGAAAACATGTAAATCTAAAAGGGGATATAGTTTATTTAATTACTGTAAAAACAAATTAACTAATCTAAACAATTTATTGTTACTTACAAGTGGGAATAGGTAGAACTGAGATTTTCAGAAAGTAGGAATAGGTAGTATAAACCCAACAGTGTAAAAACTGTGTTTCAGTATATTAACTTTCATTTTGAAAAAAAAGTAATTGAAATGTAATTGAAAAGTAATTGAAAATGCATGACCTTTTTTGAAATGTATTTAAATACATTCAATTACTTGTAATTGAATTCTCATTCAAATACAAATTACTTCTAATTACTTTGAAAAAATGTAATTAATTACAACCAATTACAATTACTTTATTCAATTACCCCATCCCTGCTGGTGATGCATATTCGATCGATGGTTTGATCATGGTACAGTATGCTGCTGCCTTTACTGATGGTGTGCACTGGCCAAGGTTTCGTCTCAGGAAAACCAGGGTTCTTGTAGCTTTGCCTATTTTAGTTTGAATATGGTTATTCCATTGTAAGTCTAGGGAGATGGTAACACCAAGATACTTCCCTCTCTCCACCACTTCCAGCTAATGTCCATGCAGGTTGTATGATGTTTGCAGTGGCTGTCGTTTGTTCGAGATCCAAATAACTGCACTTTTCGGGGTATAAACACATCCGCAACTTCCGCGTACTGTTTCACCGAGGATGCGTATGAGTTATACGCGTAAGCCCCAACCTATTGTAGAAATATACATCTACCACAACTATTGAAAGATAATCTTTTCATTAATAAAATTATGATGAAAAACCATCTTTGTTTATGTTTAATTTCCATCGCGTATTCCGCCATTTTGAACTACTGTCGTTGATAAAATCAAAGAACTGCATTTCACTTAAGACATAGATATATTTAACTAATGCCTATTAATGAGTCAATAACTATAATCTTTGTTTTATATTCTGAATTTTTCTTAATCCTATAACTTACTTTTATTTTTTTTAAATCTAAGATATATAATGTATGGGTGCAATCGTAAGGAATTCTATTGTTGCGTCATTGTTGTATTTAACTTCAGTCTATGTTGTCAATTGTAGGACATGGCCATTGTTTATATAACAATTATCACCTCAACACCTGCAAACAGTGCAATTACATTCAAGAAAATTATCAATGTATACCAATAACTGTTTAATTACAAAAAAACTAGAGGTACTGTGAGCAATGAGCTCACTAAATGATACCCCCTGCCTCACATATAATTATAATGAAAAAGTCCATGTTTTGTTGTGGCCGGGAAACCCAAAATATGTGTCAAAAAGTAAAATAGGAGGTGAACAATAGCAATATGTCATAAAGATTCTGTGAAAGTTTCATTAAATTTCACTCAGTGGTATAAGAGGAGTTGCGGATAAGAGATGGGTACCCCAAAGCGTAACAGACGGACGGACGGACATACAGACGGAAATACCGATTACTTTATACCCTCCCATTTTTCAACGAGGGGTATAAAAAAAACAATTAAATTTTCGACACTAATATCGCTTAGGTATGACTCAGGTTTGTTTACATACTGACACACGCTCGGTATACATGCATTATACCGGTAAGCATACATGTAACTTCATAAATCGCTAGGAATTAATTAAAAAGAAAATAATCAGGCATTATTAGCTCTGGTTGGTTAATTATTAAAATGTTCACACGTGCATACTTTAAATACAGTAAGGAAAAAAATAACTGACGTGCTACTTTCGTTTGAGCTGCGTAATTTTTTAAAGATTGTATTTTAAAGTTACTGTACTAGCAAAAGTAAAGTCACATCCTGCGGTTTTTTCCAGGATTTTCACCCCCAACTTTGGGGGTGCGTCTTTTACACCTTTGCGGCCAATACACGTAATTTTACGGTAAATGTAATGTGTTAATTATTTTATATTAATTAAAGGTGTATTCCTCATTTAAAACTGACGTTATCAAAATTAACATTATTTTACATTGATTTCCTGAAAAAAATTGCATTAAGAAAAAAAATCCTGTCACGTAGGTTGACCCCTACCTTCATGCTGTTTATCCTGGTGTACACGGCCTACTTCCAGTACTGGGGCTCGGGACCTCTCTGGCCCCTGACGTCCCCTGACTACCAGAACTGTAAGGAGTACTGGTGGAGGAATCTTCTGTATATCCAGAACTTCTTTCCCATCGGTGAAGAGGTAAACTTGAATTGAGACACCTGATTAGAACTCTCCTAACTGGGACGCACTTTGTGAGCTGTTGCTGGATAATTAAAGGCTCACATGTTTATACCACAAGTAGAAAGTATTGTGGTAATATGCCATGTCTATGATATTTTGGCTCATATTTGAAATTCAGTACAGTTTTTTCTCTTCATGCTGTCAATCTGCTCTAATGTTTGTGAAAAATAATGGAAATCTATTCCATTATTCAATAAATTAATATAATTAATAAATATAATTAATATTTATTTTTTATATTCTTTTTCTACTACATAAGAATGTAGATTTTTCAATAATTGCTTTAAAAAAAGATCCCAAGTTTGCTATCTTAAATTTTCAGTGCATTGGCTGGGGCTGGTACCTTGCAGTTGACATGCAGTTTTTTGTACTTTCACCATTAATAATATACCCCCTGTACAGGTATGTGTTATGTTGATTATTAAAGTTATTTACCTCATAAACCTTAGATGGTTACGATAAGGCTGTCCGTAAAATATCGAACGGTTCAAAAAGTAAAAAACTTCTCTGAACCACTGTATTGTATTTCTGTATTGTATTTCAGTATATGGATCTCCTTTAGAGGAAGAGCTTCTCAAAGACATAAAAATGATCAAATTAAAAAGCTAAAAACTGTCCTGACAATTTTTTTTTGCCAAATGATAGTTGATAACTTAAAATATCATATATAGAAAATTAAGTGATATCTGATGGTTTAATTTGTCTATGACCCCTTGCCTCCTTAAACTTTATTTTCATAGTTATTTTTTTTTGTTCTGTTCAGGAAACCTTTGATAGGATACATAATAATACTGGCTCTTATGGTGATGCAGTTGGTTTACAGGGGAATAATGTCAGTACAGCTGGATATGGGCTTAAATGTAGGACATGATTTAAAACTCACAACATACCCTGTAGAAAGGTATATATTGGTTTACATATATACATGTATAGATAACTGTAAGCTGTTTGTCAAACAGGATATTTATAACCACTCACTTTTTTTTTCCACATATACTGTCAAGATATAAATTTATTATGGTTATAGGCTCATATTCTTGCTTTTCCTCCCACTCTTTACAAAATAACTAATTTAATAAATATAATAAGGTATATTCAATTTTTTAACTAACGCGTGTAAATAGTAATATTAAACTTTATTCATGCTACTTCAGGTGCAATGCTGTACAATATGGCGACATGAATAATATACTGTATACAGGGAAAATTTCGCCCCCGTTTTATTTTCGCCCCTTTCGCCCTCTTCATGATTGGGCGAATTTAAAACGGGGTGAATTCAAATTACATTGCATAATTTCTTAAACAGAACTATGACTGGGCGAATTTAAAACGGGGCAAAATTGTTCTCAAGTGCAAAAGGGCGAAAATAAAACGGGGCGAAAATAACCCTGTATACAGTACATTCGCATCCCGAGTCCGATCATAAAACAGTCACACAACATCTGTGTTGGCGCAACTTCTCCTTTTCTCTAAAAAATAAGGCGTGATTAAATAGTAAAAAAGGAATGATATTTAAGAAACATAACACAATAAAAAAGGATGAACAAGTCCTCTGACCTCCAGATGAAGTAAGGCTAGACAAAGTAATTCATGTTACAGCTAAATTGACTATGATAAATCCTAGAAAGTCATAAAACACATAATGCAATGTAGTCATCATTTTGACTACTTGGGGATTATTCTGTCCCGAACACAAATAAGGTAATAGTTATACATGTACTATTACTGACTGAAACAAAACACTGAGGTAGTACACCGGCTACATTTCGAAATCCTTGAATCGACTTGGTAGACATATAATACGGGGAGATTTGCCTGTTGACGCAGAACATGTTGGGCTTTCTGATGGATCAGTCGTACTCTCCGATATTTCATGGTTTGAAGTGTTTTAATAGAGTGTGGTAATATCAGGCAGAGGAGACATAATTTCTAACGGAGTTGGAGGATTCATGTAAGGAATAGAAGAGGTGTCCTCATTTTTTTCCCCTGCGATGGTTTAAGATATCCTCTTTAGAATCAGAATCACAGGCATATGACTGGTAAAGAGATGGGATGGAAAGGCGATAACACTCTGACTTTTTCATCTTGTATGACGACTGTCTTAACTGATTACCCACAAACTTTCTTATTTGACACCACTCTCCATCAGTTGACACAACAAGATAATGATTCCAGGCTTTCGACTTCCCCAACGGTGGGACTGGGGGGGGGGGGGGGTTAACTCTGATGAGGTACCTAAGCCATTTCACTGCTTTGATGATTGGCAATGCGAGATAAATGTTTCTGCAATATACAATCTCGATCCGATATGGTCAACTGACGGTTGGTGAAATGGTCTTTTTGAGTAATCAATTTTTGTACAGATAACCCATCCTGACGAATAGCACTGTTGACAGATGCGATGACAAGTGACAATAAAAGGGGAGAAACCACTCTTGCTGTGGGATCAATTTTCAGATTGTGTAAACGTATTTCTTGGACTGCACGCAGTGTAATTGGGTTCTTATTGGTATCTTACTGTTTTTTTCATCTGTGGTTTTCTATAAGTGTATACAGTGTAGTTTCCTATCAAAACCTGACATTTAGATGGTGAAAGAGCAATGTCATTAGCTACCATAAAAGGAATACCCGCAATAATATCGTCAAAATTCTCGATTACTAGTCCCTCAAAGTAAAATAAGTGGAAATCTCTGGATGAGTGCAATTTTGTTTCACCCACAACCTTCAAAGGTGAGGAACCATCTGTCTCATGAGCTGCCTGGTTGGTGGGACTGACCTTTCCATTTAAGTCACAGTTGATGTTCTTATCGTGTTCCTTGTAACTCCAGAATAAATTGTGAGACGTACATGATAATGTTGAAAAAAGACATCTGAATATAGTGATGTCGAATTGAACGGTTTTGAGCCTTCATGGGTGGTTTCTGACTTTAAGAAGTACAGATATCCTTATGAGGTAGAGTGAATGTGAGGAATGATCTGGCATCTTCATTGTTGCGAATCTCCTCGAGAAGTGATGGGAGAGCCTGAGATATTTAAGGTTTTATAGATGCTAATGTACGCACTCCAAGCTCTGTGCCATTCCGCTGCTTCACAAGTTGTGGCAGTGTGTGTTGATCAAACGAAGCCAGCGCAGAACAGTAAGGTTTACAACTGTTGGTGACGGTTCCTCGTCCTCTTCAATGTTTGTGCCATGGCGTGTGATGCCACCTTCTATCTTCGACTGGTTGTCATCAATGAAGACTGTCAGTCTCTGGTACAGACACTGAGGACGTTCATCAGGACGCAGAGTAATGTTATTACGATCTAGGAAGTGGGCGCCGGATGACTGAAAGCCGAAGTGCAACCTTATTCGCTGCCATAATTGTTCTAAGGAAGTTGAGTTTTTCAATATTACATTACGTGAAATCACAAGACAGTAGTTTGCAATCTGACCAGGCATCTAGCGTGGCTGACTTTTGATGTGCTGTTAGGTGCTTGCCCTCCAGAACCTGATCATCATCGTCTGTATAGTCACGACTAGGGTTAGACTTTTGACTTCTTGGTCCATTTTGCGTCATGAGATAAAAATACAGAAAAAATTGAATCAAGGGATAAAGAATAGATTAAATTTTGTTTCCAATTTTCGAATGGATTTACAGTTTCAGTTTTAGAAAGACACTTTTGTTTGGGTGTTCTGTATGTACTGGCCATGCTTGTCAAGGTAAACACGTTGTCGGGTGCGCGTAAAACTACTTACACGAGGGTTTTCGATGATTACTCCCGGAGACATAGGGACGAAGTCGCTGCCACCACGCCACGGTATTGGAGAATCCATAACTAAAGCGTGTAAACAGTAATAAACTTTATTCACGCTACTACAGGTAGAATACTGTGGACAAACCAGTCACACAACATCTGTGTTGGCGTAAGTTGTTAATTTAGTGGGTTGGGGGTTGTGATCATTTTTAGACTATATTTCTCCTTCAAAAGAAGAGCTCCATATCAAGTTATACAAATATGATCAAATTTTAAATTTGAAATGTATGAAATTTTTACTTTGGCCAACGATAGTTGAATGCTTAAGACTTCATATATAAAATGAAGTTATATCTGATGGTTAATTTGTTGACCCCAAGCCTCCTTAGAAATAGATGAAAATCAAAATATAAGCTTGATCAATGATACTTTTTTGAGGGAAAAAAAATACTGCATGATGCATCACTCAAGTTATTCCAAAACATGCATATATAACATATGTAGTAAGTAATTCTTTGTATCTCTCTTTTTTTTTTACATATAGTGAGTTATTCCTTGTATCTCATATTTTACTTTAATAGAGTAATTACTTGTATCTCATACTATGTATTTTACATGTAGTGAGTATTTCCATGTATCTCATGTTATGTATATTACATGAATTGAGTAATTCCTTGTTTCACAAGTTATGTATATTACATGTAGTAAGTAAATCCTTGTATCTCATGTTGCATATTGCAAATAGTGAGTAAATCTTAGTATCTCATATGTTATATATATAACATTTAGTGAGTAGATTCTTGTATCATATGTTATGGTCATGTATATTACATGTAGTGATTAATTTCCTTGTATTGCATGTTATGTATATTACATGTAGTGAGAAGATCCTTGTATTCCGGCCATATTATGTATATAACATGTAAATGTGTAGTGAGTAAATCCTTGTATCTCATGTTACATATATTACATGTAGTGAGTAAATTCTTGTATCCTACGTTATGCATATTACATGTAGTGAGTAAATCCTTTATTTATCTCAGGTTATGTATACAGCAAAACTCGTTTAGTACGAACACGGATATAGCGAATTTACGGTTATAGCGAAGTTATTTTGGATCCCCAGCTATATAAATTTAACGTATTCCTTATATGGATATAACGAATTACGGATATAGCGAAGTGAATTCATAGGTCCCCGTGACTTCGTTATAATCGAGTTTTACTGTATTACATGTAGTGAATAAATCCTTGTATCCCATGCTATGTATTTTACATGTAGTTTGTAAATCCTTGTATCTCATGCTGCCTACAAGTTCCTTTCTTTACAGCTCTGACTTCTTTGATAAAACGTACCAGACGCCCTATGCCAAAATAGCCCCATACCTAATTGGCATACTAACAGGATACTTCATGTGGAAATCAGAGAGACGAGTCAAGCTGCCAAAAGTAAGTATCAATGTCAATGATGAACATCTGCAGAATTACAAAAAAATCAGTTCATTATTATGCTATTTTTTTTGGATGCTGATAATTGAAATTTACGAGGCGCCGTTTTAAAATAAGATTTTTTTTATATCAAAAATTCGAATTTCTGATATCAGAAAATCATTCTTTTATATCTAGATTTGAATTTTTTTTTTTTTTATCAAAAAACATTTTCTGATATAACTTTTTTTTGGGGGGGGGATTTTATGATGTCAAAAAAGTATTTTTGATATCAAAAATTCTGATCTTGATATCAAAAATTCTAATTCTTTACATCAAAAAATCCTTTTCTAATATCAAAAGTCGACTTTCTCATATCAGAAATTCAAATTGAGATCTTGATATCACAAAATATATTTTTTGATATCAGAAAATAAAATGAAATGTCGAAGAATCTTCACATAAATAATGAATACTCCCTTGAATTGTAGAAAATCACGAAGTTTATTGACAGATTTGTTTTCTACTAAAATTTGTTGATTTCAGATTTTTAAGAAATTCAATATTATTTAATGAAAGAATTTAATAAGTGTTCTCGATATTTTTGGTCATATTTATTTGTATGGAATTCAAATATATTACATTTTTGGATAAAGCCGAGTAAATAATCTAGGTGTGTTGTAGGTCTGGCTAAAACTGAGAATGTCCCTGTAAGCCGTATCAACAGCAGTCATTAGCTTCTCCAATTGCCTATTTGTGTAAAGTGATGTTACATGTATCACAGCAGCCTAACTATCAAGTACTTATTGTGTGAAATTCATTCTTCAGGGTGAAGTTTGAGTAATCCATAAAGTTAATTTGTGCTAAAGTTATGTTTACAAAATATATGATTAAAAGTATAGACAATACAGCAAAAGAACGACGGCATCCTAACATATCCAAACATGTCCTAAACTTATCTTCATAAGTAAAAAACCGAACAAAGTTCGCAACAAATTTGTGTGTCGGGAATCTGAATGTTAATCACAGGTGGGGAGCATTCATGAAGTAGACCGTAATTTTACTTGGTTCTTATTTTCTGATTTAAAAAATCGATTTTGTGAGATCAGAAAATACAAATATTTTTTTTGATATCAAAAAATCATTTTCTAATATCAGAAAATGAATTGAATTGAATTGAACATATTTTATTGACAAAAAAAGGATCATTTTCTAATATCAGAAAATCGATTTTTTGATATTAGAAAATGATTTCTTGATATCAGAAATTCGAATTTTTTTATATCAGAAAATGACATATATTTTTTTATATCAAGATTTCGAATTTTTGATATCAGAAATTACATTTTTTGATATCATAAAATCCCGAAGATTTTTTGATATCAGAAAATGATTTCTTGATATCAGAAATTAAAATTTTGATATAAAAAAATGATTTTCTGATATCAGAAAATCGAATTATTGATATAAAAAAAAATCTTGTTTATTTTCTGATATCAAAAAATATATTTTCTGATATCAGAAATTGATTTTTGATATCAAAAAATCGAATTTCTGATATCACAAAATGATTTTTGATATCAGAAAATACCTTAAAAATATTAAAACGGCGCCTCATAATTGTTCTTATATCAGAAAATAAACAAGATTTTTTATATCAAAAAACTCGAATTCCTGATATCATAAAATCATTTTTGATATCAATAATTAGAATTTTCGATAACAAAAAGTGATTATCTGATATTAAAAAATTGAATTTTTGATATCAAGAATTATTGTCTTGATATCAAGAATACGAATTATTGATATCAGGTATTTCTCTTTTTTGATATCAGAAAATACCTCAAAAATATTAAAACGGCGCCTCATGGAAATTACATATAAAGAAGGGAATGAAAAACAACAAATCATAAACTTCATGTAAATGTCTCAATAATTTTCGAACAGCGCCCTCGTATTGGACGGGTACAATTCGACGCGGACGGCCGGGAATACATTTGATTGAAATTCTAGTTTGAAATTCATTTCATTCCACCTGGGCTTTTTTTTTAAAGCAAAATGTGAATGTTTGATCCAAAAGACAAATAATTTCAACCAAAGTTATATGAGATTTATATATTTAACCAGGTGATTGTGGTGTTGGGATGGGTTATTGCCCTTGTTTGTGTGTCTTCAGTGATGTTTGGGACCACTGAACAGTACAGAGGCCATAAATCCTCCACAGCAGTTACTGCCCTTTACAACTCTTTGTCCAAAACAACATGGAGCTTGGGTTTAGCATGGATTATTTTTGCATGCAGTATAGGATATGGAGGTAAAAAATATAAAAGAATACAATATACAAAGAAATGATATTTTGTACATCTAAGCTAAAAGACTATATGAACTGTTAGCACTGAGCTCACTAAAAGATACACCCGCCTCCCATATAAATCCATGCTCTGCTCTTGGAAACCTGAAATAAGTGTCAGATAAAAAGTAAAATAGGAGGTCACAATGGCACTATCTAAGGTATACCTTTTCTCAGATGACTAAATATTCCACTGATAAGAACGAAAAAATGACATATTGCACATCATACACCTATAATTTTTGTGTTAAATTTCATTTCAAATAACTACCGGTAGGTCAATGACCTACTTTTCAGCCTAGTGGCCCCTGAGTTTTTTCTTGTGAAATACCTCAATTTTTAAAACTAGGACCAATTTTGTCTTCACTCACAAAATATTACGAGCAACAAAACTCTTTAAATAATGAAGTATTATAACAATGGTACAGTGTTGCTTCATATAAAGAAACAATATGAGTTTGGGCCATAAACTTGATAATTATTATAGTCCGAATTTCTTCTGTCATATTCATATTTTCCCCCATTTTTAATCGGTATTAGCATAATATGGGGTCAATGATCAAATTATTGAGATATGTTGTCTGGAATGGTTTTTTCTCATATTTTGAATTTCTTTATTTCAAATCATTTAATTACATGTATTTGAAATAATTTATGAGGTTTAACACATATAATATTTGCAAAATGATGTCTTAAAATATATTTAACCTTTACATTGTGATTAATATTGCTAGAAATAAAAGATTTTTACAAAAATAAAAAGTTAAAAATTTAACCCAAATTTCCTCTGCATTACTATACATTGACTTTTGTTCCTATATATTTTCTTCAAATAACAAAATATCAAATTTTTAAATTGATATTGATTTAAAACTAAGTTATTTTATCCATTTAGAACAATTTTTGGTTCAACATATTATACTTTAGAAAAATTCCTTTCTGTTTTGTAAAACCTGAGTAAACGTCATCCAAAATTTTGTGAAGGTCTCATTATCTGATTCTGAATTCACTTAACGCCGATAAATCACTGGGTATTACACAACATGCGATGTTGTCGACGGAATGGACATTGAACATGTATCACCTCGAGGCGAGGAGAGTGGAAAATATGTATCCTTCTTTAAACATGAATTGTATGTCAATTCATTCAATTTCTGCTTATTCAATTTAAAAAATACATATTGACATACTTGGAAACAAATGAAAAATAAATATGATTTTCAGTCATGAAAAAATATTAAAACCTTAGCCTTGTCCCTGTCATATTATCATTTTTTCCCAAAAGCACACATTCTTTCAAGCGACATACAGTATATACCCCCATACTACAAGATTTTTAAACGAAAATATTAAATTTTAATATACATGTACCAAAATCATTTTGAGTTTTTGAAATTTAGAAATTTGAACTAATATATTAGCATTCTAAAACTCAAAATCATTTTAGAAATATGAACTGTTAAGTGTTGCACGGACCACCTCTAATTACATTCTTTCTCAGTCTGGGTTTTTCATAGTCGGTAAAAAACGTATTCATATGGAATTCCTGCATATGACAATGATATTATCTAGTATACATAATACTTTACAAAATAATGAATTTAACTTTTCCTTTTCAAAAAGTATAACAAAAAACACCTAGCCAACAGAATATACAGTTCAAATTCACTACTGCCAAAGTTCTCAACTTTACTTTACAGTCCACACAGGAAAGCTTCCCGAACATTCGCAAAACATTAAGGCCTTGAGTGCCCCTCTAAGTGATTATCTCTCTGTTTTCCCTTTGTTGTGCATTTTTGTAAACTTTTCTGGCCAATCATTAATTAGTATACTTAGTATTTTTGTGTCAAAAGTGTGTCAAGATTGACAATGTCTGGTGCATGTTTAATGGACACATTGTAACATTTGACATTTGTAGGTTTTATCAACACGTTCCTGTCGGCCCGTCTGTGGTCCCCCCTCAGTCGCCTGACCTACTGTGCCTACCTGGTTCACCCTGTCATCATGTTTGTCTACACTTACAGTCAAAGACACCCTATATACTACACTGACATCAACATTGTGAGTACAATTTTTACTTTGAATTCAAACTATTTCCTCATCTGTTCTATTTTGGATATAGGGTATCTTTTGGGAAAATATCTTTAATCAAGATCAGGCTTCATCTAAAGATTATAAGAACAACATGCTACCTGGGGTTAAAAGATTAATTTGGACCCATGGCTAAAAAGTTATATTCTCAATATACTACCTGTCTGTAGACAGGATATGTACTGATCTTTGATTCTGAGATATAAGATATCAATGTAAGTTCTACTATAACTTTAAAATTAAGTTGGAATATAATAGATGTAGCACAGACATGATTTTATGATAAAAATACACTATTGTATCAAAATTAAATGCCATTTGACTATACTAAAAGGGGAAGGTTGGGGGTCAGGTAGGGGGACACAAGTCACATACATGTAAGCTAGATTTTCAACTTTTACATCTGATATTTTAACTGAAGGTTTAAATTCACCAACTTCAGACTATTGATTATATATATAGCATTAAATATAAACATATGAAAAAAAAGTACACACAAAAAAAACTTGAGATCAAGACCCATAGGCTGTTTCTTATTAACTTTCAGTTCAATTTTTAGAAATATTGGCTGCAGTGGGATGTCAGGTTCTTTAACATTATAAACGTAATTTTGCTTGTTGTAGGTCTTCCTCTTTTTGGGATTTTGGATGGCAACATACATAGCTTAATTAAAATTCAAATTGTTTCCATGGCTTGTTTGAGGCTCCAATGATTTTTGAATAGAAAGACTTCTACTAAAAAAACTAAGATTAATTGTTATCATGATGTGTAATTTTATATATATATATTTTTCATTTTTAGTATTTAAAATTTATATTTCTTAAAATCATTTTTACATATTTATAAAATGTGACTTTGTAAGGGGTGTTTAAGAAAAAATTATTTCCATGATGAAATATTTTCAAACATTTCAAAGTAGTGCTCAACTAAAACGATGGATTTTCAAGTCTGACAAAATCACAAGAATGTGCTTTACATTTATAGCAAATCATTTTTAGCAGGAAATTATAGGATTTTTCTTCCATATGAAAATATATATAAAATCTTTAAAGCATCCGAATGAAAGAAATGCTGGTCATTTTGAGTGAAAATAAAGGATAATTTACTTTTGTTTCTCCATAGCTTATCTTGCATCAGAAAAGCTGATGAATGTGGGTAAAAGAACGATAGATCACTTTTCAAAAGAATAGGTTTGCCATTTTGAAATTTTTTAACAGATTTGATAATATTTGCATAGTATTTGAAAGGATATTTTGACATGTGTGCTTAATGAATGTCACAAATATGCATCATCCCTAATTTTTCTGAACAGATATCATCTTTTTTAATACCTGCCCTCTCATTATTGATTTAACAGAAGACCACTAAAACCTTATTAGTAGCAAGAATGGACTTTGTAAACATGAAGTATCACAAAGTGTAAATTTCTTGCCATAGAAATTCTTTTCGAAAATAAAAGAAAATTGTGGAACGAACTTTCTTAACACCCTTTATATTATAAATATATCAATCCAGGTTTTTTTTTTTATTTACTGGGGTGATTACATGAATTGTACAAAAGATTTACACAACAAACATATGGAAAAATTAATATCTTCTTGGTTGGTCATGTCTGCATGACCAACTTTGCAGGTCTGATAAAAATGGTATGTTAGGTATATTACATGTACATGTATCATGTTTATTATCTTTATTTGTTTATTTTTTATTTTAACCTGTGATGAAGTTTTAACTGATTAACTGATTTAGCAACAAAACATGACCATTGTTTCTGCTTTGTACACTGAAATTTTTAAATATGCATGTAATTAGCTATTACTGATTTAGAGTCTGAAATATTGCAATATACATGTACGAAGATTTAGTTTTGAAATTTTGTAAACACAACACAAAGTAAAAGTTATAATTATACTAGTTCGTGTGTATTTGATTTTCGACAGTTTGTGTTATAATCTGAATAGAGGAGCTTATACATGGATCAAGTGTCTGTCAAACTTAACAGGAGACCCATGGGCCATAATGCTCACCTGAGAAGCTTTGACCATTCCGTTCTTTACCAGATTTCCCCCTTGTAATACCTATTGTGACCCCACCCTACCACATGGGTCATCAAATGTAATATGGAAAAATCAAAATCTAAACTATCCCAGGGTTCTTTACCAGATTTCCCCTTTGAATACCTATTGTGACCCCACCCTACCCACAGGTCATAATTTGGACTATTTAAAATCTACATTACCCCCGGGATGCTTCCATATAAGTTTCTGGCCCAGTGCATGGTTCTTGAGAAGAAGATTTTTAAAGATTTTTCCTATATATTTTAAGCAAAACTTTGATCCCCTATTGTGCCCCCGACCTACCCCTGGGGATCATGATTTGAAAAATTAAGAATCTACACTACCTCAGGATGCTTCCACATATGTTTTCTGGCCCAAAGGTTCTTGAGTAGAAGCTTTTTAAAGAGTTTTCCCTTATATTTCTATGTAAAACTTTGATTCCCTATTGTGGCCCTGCACTACCCCTGAATGGGGGTCATGATTTGAACAATTTAAAATTTAAACTACCCCAGGATGCTTCCACATATGTTTCAGCTTTTCTGGTCTATTGGTTCTTGAGAAGAAGATTTTTAAATGACCCTACCCTATTTTGTCTTTTCTTGATTATCTCCCCTTGTGAGGGGACTTAGCCTTTCTTTTTAACAAGTTAGATATCCCTTTATCCAAGGATGCTTTGTACCAAGTTTGGTCAAAATTGATCCCGTGGTTCTTGAGAAGAAGTCGAAAATGTGAAAAGTTTACAGACGGACAGCTTGACAGACAGCTAGACGGACTGACTACTGACAAAATGTGAACAGAAAAGCTCACTTGAGCCTTTGGCTAAGGTGAGCTAAAAAGCATTTTTTGGGGGAAAATGCTTCTCCTTTTACTTTTTCCCCCCTGATTTGAATAAAACATTCTAGAGATTTGGACTAAACTTACCTGATGATGCATAATCTTTGGATCATTGAAAGAGGGAACAGTCATATTTTTGAAAGAAAAAGCCAAGATTAATTCAAAATACTTACTTTCTTTGATTTTGTGTGATGTGAACCCTACTTGTTTCAGTTGTGCAATACATAATGAACAGGGTTGAAACAATCTTTACTTTCTAACTCAACCAGATTCATAAGGAAAACAGTTCTACAGTATATAGATGTTAGCAATTATTCTCTTAAGATTTAAAATTAATGCCTTTTAGAAATTTATTTCATGATTCAATTACGGAAAATGTTGGGTTTTTTTGTAAAATAAAATAAAAATATAATCATATGACATATTAATCATGGTTAGTAATCAAGATGTATTTCTTTGATCTGTATATCTATACCCTTTTTTCGTGTAAGCGGGTTATGTAATTTTTCTCTGCAATAGCTGTGACATTCATTCCCGTACTAACAACCAAAGAAAGACATTTTATTGTTTATATTAACTAATATCTGTTTAAATAATCATTTAAAGTAGGATTAAAAAGATTAATTATTGTGTCAATGATGTGAACGTCTTTGTACTTTTCATTGATGAAACAGCCACTGATCAAGAAACCTAACAGGTGACATGCCTAGTGCAGTTCATGCACTGGTTTACGCAATGGGTTTTCTTAAGAAATAAAGGAGAAAAAATATTCAATGGATGTAAATATATAATGTTACAATGTATATTGTTATTTATATATAAAATGTTATTTATATATGAATACATAAAATCTGTCAGTATTTTAGTTATCATTTTCTAAGGTTTCTTGAACTGTTTTCTTTAGAACTTGAACAATTTCAAAAAGTGATTGAGTGGTCGGGATAACAATGTTACTTGTGATGTACATATCTTTCAGTATTAATTATAGACTTTCATGCAGTCAGGGGTGGCCTTAAGACTCAGGGAATTTCCCCATCGATAATGATGTAATTCACAGTTTATTTTGGTATTCGTCTTGGGTGAGTTCCATGCTGGAACATACATCCCTAATGCCCCCTTCTATTTCATTTCTTAACTCAAGGACAACACTGCTCAGTGGACAGTTGAATCTCACTATCTCAAACTCTAAAGCCTGTATCTTGAATACCATGGATATGTCAAAGCTGAGTTGGAAGTCTTTTAAAAGCCCATTTAAATAAAGAATTTGCACCAGGAAAATAGTATAGCTGAAAATAAAGAAAAGGCTTACAGCAAAATTAACAAATTTTATTTATATACATACATATACAACCATTCATTTTAGTGCATCATCTTTTTTATAAATATATATACATGTAAACAGCTTTTAACTCGCAGTCCTTACATGTATAATAATTTGTTTATTAAATTATTTACTGTTATAAATTTATTTACACACAAATGCTTATCAAATATGTCAGTGACCTTTAAAGCCTATGAGTGTAAAACAATGATAGTTTATGAGTTTTTACCTGAGTTTACAATTTGGCATTCTATTCAATATGTAATAGCCATAATACATATATTTTCTTTGTCATTCAATTATTTAAGTCAATGTCTTTCAGTCTGAAACTTACAATATTCAAGTAAATTAACAGTAAAATTTTCAATGATGTCTAATTAAAAATAAAAATCTGATCTTCTGACTTCAAGCTTCTCATATACTTCTTAAAACTTATATTTAACTCTTTTCCAACCCCAACCCCCCTCCCTCTTTTTTTTATTAAGTGTAAGGAACAACTGTTCGTAGAAAACTGTATTCTTTTCTTCAGAGAATTTTTTTTAAATGATTCAGATGAAAATGTTGAACAAATGTTATGTGTGTCAACATTGACTTGTTCATGCCATGTGATTTTGTCAACATATAATTTTCATGGCGTTCACATAAGTCCGTAGTCCCCTTCCATTGGATTGTAAAGCCGGGGACCAAATCCATGCATGTGGTGATGTCCCCCGTAATGCATCATTGCTGCAGCTGTAAAAAGTAAATCAAAGTTACTGATGAAAAAAATGACAAAAACTGTGGCACTTTTTAACAAAAAGCTGTGAAAGTCTCATTAAATTGAATTCAGTGGTAAAAGAGGAGTTGCCGATAAAAGATGGGTCTCCCAAACCCAAAGCCTAACATATATGGACGGACAGACGTATGGACATTCCGAACACTACCATTGCTTTTCAATTGGGGTTGAGGGTGGAGGGGGTAAAATAACATGTAGTTTGCTACATTCAAGTAGCTTAACCCCCGACCCCACCTCCAATAAGTATATATAAATATACACCCTGCATAAAATACATATCAATTAGTTACGTTCTCTTAATAGGCATTTCCTGATTGGTTGGAATTTTGTTGATAAACTTGTTGTATTCAATAATACTCAATTATTTGGAAATCAGAACATTTTTACGCTATTTGTTCATCACATGCATTACATTCATTACACACCCGCTATAACAGCGTCCTCGTTTCTACTGTTCCTGATGTTGTGTCCGGATGGTGGCAATGTCATCGGTTGATCTACAAAAAAAAATGTATTAAATTACCCTACATAATTATATGCATCCAATTTTAAGATAGTTTAATTTTTATTTTAACCAAGGTCCGAAAAAAATGGAAATTAAGACAAGGTACCAAAACAGAGATCTTTTAATATGTACATTTCCCCCATAATTTTAGGTGTATAAGGGCATTTTAATGTCCACCAAATAACATTTTATTTAGTATTTTTGCCCTACAGACAATATCTAAGTATCTTTAAAAACCTGAGATTTGCGCATATTTATACATATATTATGTCGAATTTTCAATTAAATGTCTTCTTAAAATTTTGTCGAATTTGTTTTTTAATTAGCAAGAATACATAAAAAATATGTAAATATAAGGAGGGGAGGGGGCTTATATATACCTTGCTGAACCCATCTCGTTTCCATTTGCTGACTTCGAGGATAAGAGTTGACTACTGGCCTAGGCACTGAGGGATCTAAGGAATAGATCTAGATTATTACAGATTTATAATTTAACATAACACATGTAACATGTACATACTATAAATATAAAATGAAGTTACCTGTTCCCTAATTTTGATTCTAAAGAACAATTAACTTTTTCAATACTAAAAATCATTAAAGAAAAAATGTTGATGTGTGCAATGAAAAGATGGTGCATTTTATTTTAAAACTCGATAAGCCATTATTTTAACAACAGATATATCTATTACCCAGATATTATCACTCAGAGATACATACATGTAAATACAAGTTTTAAGTATATTAAAATTTTATGTAATGAAATTCATCAACTGCTGTGACAAATATGTATATTATTTTCAAATATCCGTAAAAACCTTGCCACATAATTATTGCGCAATATTCATTAGTGTGTAAACTACAATACAGCTAACAATCAATACTGAATTCAGTCTACCTGCATTGGAAGATCCAGCACAGCCCATTTTCTTTTAGGAATCCATTTTGTTTGTATACGGCCTGTACTTTTGTTTTGATTGATTTCAAAGATTTCTTGTATCTGTAAATGGTGGTTCCTTAACAGTTCTTACACTGTTATTATGGTTGCTATATATAAGCACTGGTCATTTAAATTATTGACAGGAATTCCATTCAAAGGGGAATAACCTTAAAATTTGTAATTGCTTCACTTTCAGCTGCAGAACTGTTACCAGCTCTCTGAAAAAAAAATATTATAATTTGACAGACCGGTCTAGCAACTATCAAAATATTTTTTTCGGAGAGTTACAGTTCTGCAGCTCCTTCACTTTTAGAACTGCAATGTAATTAGCAGCAATAGCCTAAGAATTTGTACATAATGACCCCCTTCCCACTCGAATCTCTAGATTACCATGATAATAAATACACATGTTCATACACATACTGAAATATTATCTTCCTTACTCTGATCCATTAATAGTACTTCCATGCATCTTTGAATTACCGATAGGCTCAACTTGATGCATTTTGGTTAGTGCTACTGAAGTGCTGCTTCAAAATTTGTTTTAAAAAAAACAAACAAACAAAAAAAAATACCTTTTCTCTTAACTTTACATTTAGCTTAATTTTTTTTTAAATTTAGGATTTGAAATTTTTCCTTTGTGAGGACAATCAAAGGTCAAAAACTGACATTTTTAGTAAATTTTAGAATTTTTGTGGCTTCTTCCCTCGTTATACATTACACAAATATGAAGGCAAGTACATTAAGAGGCAAATACCTATGTGCAGTTATAAATGTCGTCTATTTTACATATCCGATCATTTTTCCCAATTAGAAAAAAATATCATGTTCTCATGAACTACTTCATGGAATGAGTAGGATTTTTTCCATTGCGATGTATGTATAAGTAACTAAAGTAAAAAATTTGCATGCGATTTTTTTTTGCGAAAAAGATCGTTGAATGACAAAACTGTGTGGCAAATCATCAGAAAATAATCGAAAATAAATTTAATTTTTGAGAATTCATTAGGTACATGAACAACGACGCTTCCTGCCTGCATATTTATCATGAGGCACTATAAATATGCATCATGATGAAATAATTTAATTCTGGTTGTAACGATGTATTTGATTGGATAAAAAAAAATACTTTTATCGTATAAAATGGGTTGCCTACGTCACAATGACTTGCGTCAAAACCGTATCAATCCGCCTGACGTTACTTTCAAAGTTTTTACAAATTGAAGTCATTTTGTTAGAACTATCATCTTTTTTTCTTACATCAAATGAATGAAAATTAAATTATAAGCGATGAATTTAATAGCTATCCATTTTATACGGTATAAACTGGGTTGGAACAAATTACGCTTTTTAATAAACCACTTCACGGTTTATAAAGCCTAAACTGCCCCAACCCAGTTTATACCGTATGAAATGGGTAGCTATATATTAAATTAATTCCTTAAATATGCAGGCAATAAGCATCGTAATTCATATCTTCATGAATACTAGTAATTAAATTTTCAAAAAATTAAATTCATTTCTTAAATGGCAACATCCCTCTGGGTTAAAAAATACAAAGAAATATAAAATATTTATATTGTAAACATTTATGTCTCAATCTGACATTTAAGTCATATGCACCAACATGTTTGCATACTCTAAAAACGAGAAAAAAAATGCAAAATAAATATTTCATTTAAAAACATTTTCATAAAAATAATATTCTTACAGTAATTATGTCAAAGAAGATATTTGATAAGAGTTCATGGTGCATTGATTCATCCAAAAGCCAAAAATACAACCAATGTCTCCAGGTCTACATTGTTAAATAACTTTAGATGAGAGAAACTTCATCTTCGTCACTATAATTGTCCATGCTTGGATTAATGGTTGAGAAGGAACTGTCAAGAAATGGTTTACTATTAGGTTTTCTAGGGGTACTCTGAAGAACACAAACACCTGAAGATCTCAGTTGGATTTTGGATCTCTGTCTTAAATTTTGGCTCCTAGGTTCATTTCTATCCTTGTAACTGTCCTTTTTCTGTGAAGATCTCTGAAAAAACCTACTTTGAGAGTTTTGGTTTTCTTCTGGAAACAAGCTAAACTTGGGTTTCCACTCCCTCACTGACTGGAGTTTGTAGGAGCTGGACTGCTGAAACTCTTGTGTAGCTGGTGCACATGCCTGTCTAGACATCTGTAACTCTTGTGTAGATGGTGCACACACCTGTCTAGACATTTGTAACTCTTGTGTAGATGGTGCACACACCTGTCTAGATATCTGAAACTCTTGTGTAGCTGGAGCATACACCTGTCTAGACATCAGTAACTCTTGTCTGGATGGCTCTTTTATCTCATCAGATGGCTGAGGTCTTTGTCTGGGCGACTCTAATACATGTACTTGTCTAGGTAAAACAGGAGCTTGTTGATGCAGCTGAGGCTTGTGTTTAGATGACAACTGTACTTTTCTACCTGGCTGATGCCTTTGTCTTGATTTCTTAGGCTCTTGTTCATGGTATTTTGGTCTAGTATTGTCATATTTCCAGTCTTGTTTTTGCATGCTGGGCACACCAACTTCCATTTTATCTTGCTGGTGTTCACTGTAAGAACAAAGACCCAAAGCATTCTCTGAAACTGTATGGCGAATGATCTTATTGTCTGTAGGTTGGTTATAAGTCTTAGCTGTGCAGTTTGATACAGATCCTCTTCTGCATTGTACCAAACTGTCACAGGAACTTGACCTTACATGTTCCCTCTTACCAAACCGATCCTCCCTGACATATCCTTCAGTTCCACCATTCCTCTTGACAATCCTTTTGGTTGATGGAGATTTTTGATAAGGAAAGGCATTTGGAACCTTGAAGACTGGTGGAACACTTTGACTGGAGTGATAACAAGAACTATTCTCCATGTAAAAACTTTGCTGAAAGTTGTGCGAGATCCTTGGTGATGATCTAGGTGATGATAGATGAAGCCTGGCAAGTGAGGAAGATGGTGAATGACTTACATCAGTGTGTGCTCTGCCATTTTGTGGAGAGGATGGGTAACTCTGAGCTCTTGGAGATTGAAAGCTTTTAGAACGAGCTCTTGGTGATGAAAAGAATGTAGAACAAGAGCCTGGTGAAGCTGGGGGATAAGCTGGTATATCTGTGAATGTTTGATCACCTGGGAATGGAAAGGTGGAGGAAGATCTCTCAGGTGATAAAGAATGGACCAATGTCTGTGAAGCTCCACCTAAACCTCTCTCACCAGACAAATCACTGTTCTCGTTTATTTTATGTTGATGACTACATCCCAGTTGTTGACAAAGTTTTATATCATTAACATTCATACAGTCTGGACATGAACAAATAGCTTTTTTTCTACATGAGCAATTGATGTCATAACATAATGCAAAGTTTCCATCTAAGCTTAGTTCAGATTTGTTTTCCTGGCCATTTATCTTCTGATCAAAATGTGACAATTCTTCTTCTTCAATTCTCTGTTTCCTTTCATTCTCTGCTACGTGAATGTAAGATGGCTCATCTGAATTCCCAGAGCTATTTACATCTGACACTGGATGAATAACAAGTTTTCTTTTGGCCTTTACTTGGTACTTGTCCTCAGTCTCTTTTGAAGGCATCATCCACTTGGTAACTTTTTCTATTGAGGACATTGGCTGGTTGTTTAGCTGTGACGTTCCTTCTTTATTAAGTAACTGTATTTTGGGACCTTCTGAAATTCCATTTTTGATAAAAGTTTGGGACACATCACTCAATGATTCATAATCTTCCAAACACAAGGAGTTCCTTCTTTTTGAACATTCTGTTTGTACAGCAGTTCTAGGACTACTACAAACTCTCTCTTGGCCTCTCTGTGCACTACAACTTCTTATATGCAGATCAGAGGAGTTATTATCAATGTTTGCTTTGCCCCTCTTCATCTCCTTGCCCTGAGTAAAAATATTTTCATTCCTTCGATGCAACTGCTCATGAGAATCTTTCTCTGGACTATAACCACTTCCATTTCTATATATCAGTTCTTTCTTTCGACCACGGACTCTTTCAGATTCCGATTTTCCTTGAAGCGTTGTTGGTGTATCACCTCTCTCTTGTCTTCCCTCTGACTTCATCACGTCTCCTCCTCCACACATCTGGTACAAGTTCTGGATCTGATGTCTGTAATCGGGTCTTTTGACTCGGACTAACTCCTTGTCCCCAGACATTAGGTGGTGCCTGACATGTCTGTAGCTGATCTGAGGCTCGGGACAGCGGTACTGCTTGTGGATTCGGCTTCTATCGTACATACAGGAAGGAAGCTCAGAACTGTGGTAACCAGAACTGTCCTCAGAAGAGGCAAAGTAGGACTCCATTCTGGGGCTTTTATGTAGGTTGTTGTGATGAACCTTCTTTGTCTCTCTTGACTTGTATAACTAATAAACAAAAAAAAAAATGTTTTGAACTTATTATAATTTGAGGGTTTTTTTTTCAAAAGTCTCTATGTCTTGCATTATTTCATCAGCATGATTTATTGGCCACCATGAATTTCTTATAAAATTACAGGATAAGATGTACATGTATATATGTCATCATTAGAACTATCCCCATTCCCCTTACACATATTACATCCTCTGAATAATATCCAGAGGAGCTTGAGTCTTCAGACATCCTCATCAAACCTCTATTTTCATTATCCTTACCTTATTATTCCCTTAGTATCCAGAGGAACTTTAGGCTTCAGACATATCCTCATCAAAAATATCTTCATTGTCCTTACTTTATCATCTTTGGAGTTTCCTGATGAGCTAGAGGCTTCAGACATATCCTCGTCAGAAGTATTCTCATTCCCCTTACCTTTTCATCCACTGAGTATCCAGAACTATCCTCACTATCCTTACCTTATCATCCTCTGAGTATCCTGAAGAGCTTGAGGCTTCAGACATGTCCTCATCAGAACTATCTTCACTCTCCGATGTTGTTATCAAAGTTTCTGCATCACTGATGTCTTCCTCCAGATCAGGGCCTAGCTGAGACAGAACGTCCTTGTATGTCTCTAAGAAAGCAAAAAATAATGAAATAAGGCCCAAAAAAATTAATCAATAGTTTCTCAGGCACCGCCGCATCAGTTAAAAAACGGCCGCATTGATCAATTTTATTGACATATTGAAAAGGTAAATAACCCAATTTTCTATTTTTCCAAGTTGAAAAAGGAAATCGAGTTATTGCCCGTTTCATAAATGCTAAGATAGACGTTTTTATTGGAAAAACATTATCTTTCTTCTAAATCTAAAGTATTTTATATGTTAACTTTTAAATAAATGTTTGGAATAACATTATTTAAAGTTGAATACATATTATAACTAATTTCAGAGAACAAAACTTAAGAATTAGTAGATATTATCATTTTATTGAACAAATGACTTTTAAAAAAAGGTGTAGACTATTATTAAATCCTGATTCAAAAAAAAAAAAAAAAAAAAGCCTGCCTGCCGCATTGAATTTTGATTTTTTTGGCCTGAGAAACAATTGATTAATTTTTTTGGCCTAATGAAACAATATGAAAATTCATTATAATTTAAATCAGTTTTTATTTGCCATAACTTTGTTTTTGCATAACCTAGAACCACTGTTACTTTTGAAAAATTCATTCTCTTGTTATACACGGTAAGCATGGTAAGTATTATAAAAGATTATACATTTTAACTATCAAAATTTAAAAAATAAAATGTCCTCGCAAAAAAATGGTGTCTTAAAAACTAAGGGATCAAAAGCATTGTAAATGCATTTCATTAAAACTGATTCCAGTCTTAACATTATGAACTTGGAAGATAAAGAGTCCTCCAAGCATTGTGCTTACCAGATTCAAGTTTTCCTTCATTATTCATGTTTTTAAATCTCTAAATATTATACAAACAATTCAAATTGCTGTACCATTAAGACTCTGTATCCTAGAAATGTCATCAGGATAAGGGTCCGCCTCCATACGATCCTCCCCCAGGATTTGCTGGGATCCCATACTGTCTGGCTCATCATAGGACAAAGGAGACAACAAGTTCCCATGGGAATCCCAGGGATCCTCTGGCTTGGATACGACATAAGTGCCATGGGGATCTGGCCTCTGGAAATAATACAAGTGGTCATGTGACACAAGTTTGACATTAACTTAAAACTAACACAAATCTGTAGGTTTAATTATTCTAGGTATGAATTATTATTGATTGCAAGGTGAATCTGGAAAGCCATCTTCTCCACTGGTTTTACAGAAGTGGGGAATTATTCCATTTGGGTTTTCTCAGCTAAATCCCTATAGTCATGGTTCATGGTACATACACCTTCCATTTACTCTAGATGATATTGGATATTGAAATTTTTTTCGGTGTTGATTTATAAAACATTCAACGCTTATTAAACACTCAACACTTGTACATTTTCCATGTACAATATTGCTTTATCGTATTTAAAGTGGTCTTCTTTTTCTTAATCAACTTTTATGAAAATTAAAAGCAAATACTGTACATATCCATTTATTATCACAGGAAAATCAGAAGCAGCATGTAAAGTATGCCTATAGTTAGTGTGTGTAATCGTGGTGTGAAATAAAGCACCCATTCACAGCAAAATCATCAAGGGGACAAGCATTAATTTATGATTTTATACTTGCCCCCTGGGACAAGAAATCTTTTTTCACAACCTGTTCATTCATGGAAAGGACTATATAAGTTAAGAGCCAATTTTGGCCCCCTAAAAATCAGCATTTTAGAATGACATTCAGATATGTTTAATTGATATTAATTTTGTAGAAGAGATTATATTAGATATATTTCCAATATATTTTTACATTTATATGTACTCACTGGCTGTAAATGATGACGGAAATAACACTTTTTTATATATCTAACCAAAAAAGCCAAAAATACGTCTTTTTCTTGATGTTTTTTCTTATGGGAAACATAGAGCGCATTGTAGAACATGCATAATTTTTCTGTCAGTAATTAGTATTGAATAGATACATCTTTGGTAAAAAATTAAAGTATGTTCTAGTTTGCGCTCAATATTTCCTAGAAGAAAAACTGCTGGAAAATAAGCAGTTTTATAAAAAATATGCTAAAATTGCGGGAAACCGTGAACTTTATGATGTCATATTTCTATATTAAAAGCATTTTGATCAAATTGAAAATTAACAATAAAGGTCGCATGTATGGCTATGCAAAGTAAAGCTATATATAAATTAAAAGTAAGATATTCATTTTAGGGGGCCATTTGAGACACTTATCATATATTGCTCTTTGGTCCATGACTCAATGTACCAGGTAAAGCTTTATTACTTTAGAATAAACCTGTCCCAAATTTCAACTACAGATATATAATTTGCAAATTTGGCCAGGGTAGGGCTCATAATATAAGTACTATTGAGGTGTCTTTACATCAGCTATTAGAAAGCAGCAAAGAATTTAATGTAAAACAATATTATATCAAAGCTATGCGGCATAGTGTTTGAGTATTGTTCCCTTGTGTAACACCTCTGACTGTAATAGATATAAAACTATGTTGTATCTGTTACAATTTTGAGGAAGAGATATGGTCTGCTGCACATTCCACTTCTGTTCTTACAGGGTATAGTATTACGTGGCAAGTTTTAAGTAAAACTTTCAACATTTAAAGAAGTCAAAAAGAATCTTATTTGAAAGAAGCCTCAGCCCTGTACATCTAAAACCATGGATGAAAGTAGGTAACAAGCAGAGTTTCAATTTCTGACTTAAAATGTGTCATTACAGTGTATAATGTATAAATCAGGTAGATAGAGAATGAAGGAGCATTTCATCATATGTTTATTCTAACAAGGAAAATATTCAGTTTTATGAAGATGATTATTTTTTGTTTTATTTATCATTCATCAAAATTGTATAGTTCATAGTATTAATATAATTTTCTTTCATACTTTGAAAATAAGCAAACTTAAATATATATTTAATATGTACAATTATTTTATGCAAGTGGTGAAGTACAACAATACAGTGTACTGTGGTTTCATCGGTTTTCATTGGCATCAGTTTTTCATGGATTTTGTGAGACGATTTTCCAGGATATGTAATTTCATGAACAATAGCATTGCCTATAAAAATGAATAACAGGTTTCTTAATTCAATGAACATTGAATTTCATGGATCTGCTAAAAAACGGAATCCTCAAAAATTGGTGCTCAATGAATATTGATGAAACCACAGTATTTAAATACCTGAATACAACTGTGTTTTAGTCTTAATGATTAGCTGTGTTCAGAAACAGGGCTGACCTTATAAGATTGATTTTATCCACTATAAAGGTCCATACAAATATTACAAATGCTTGAATTATCTATGTATAAGGAAATTGACACTACCTGTATTCATATATTCAGAGTCATAATACAACCTACAATCATAATTAACCTGAAAAAAATGGTGTTGATGTGATGTACCAACCCAGAAATCTTAAAGTTTCAATGAAACAGACTGGAATTCAATAAGACTTACTTGTTGAAATGATTCTTTCTCCTGATTCTTCTGATGATTAAAGGGGATTATTCTTTTATGTGCTTAAAAAAAAATTCTTTTGAAATTTATTTGTTCTACTGAATACATACATCATCAAGTACCAGATACTGACTTCTTATATAGCCCATTTGGCATTTGCTCACTTTTTAACACTCTCAGTTGTAAAAAAAAAAAAAAAAAAACAATTACATCCAAAACCAACAAGCAAATTCATAGATTTGACCCCCTCCCCCCCAATCAAGGTTTTATTGGTTTGAGTGTGATGATTTATGGTGCATGTTTATTGTACAGCTGTAACTGTCTTATCTGTTTTGGCTAGTCTGTCCATCATACACTCTAAAGGTACAAATGTTGTAATGGAGATATTGGGGGAGGGGGGGGGGGGTGTTAGGTCAAAGTTTAAGGTGAAGGTAATGTGAGCAAAATCACATATTTTGAAAAGGATATTGTTTCAGGTTATACACTTATATGAAAGCTCCATCTCATCTTGCTGCAGAATGGACTCTGGATGAGAAAATTCAAACAGGCAAACAAGAAAGCTATTTATAGCAATTAATGCTTTTTTGCTGTTCCTCCAGTTATTATTTCTTGAAAATATGTGGGGGAATTTAATTTAACATACTGTAGATTCCTTATTTTTTGCGAGTACTTTTTACCCCGATCTGGGTCTTTAACATCAAATCACAAGAAATATAAATTGCGAATGGACGGTTGATCAACAGAATTAACATTGACTTCAGCTGTCAGCACCATGAAAATTAAAGCGAGTAATATTTTTTCGCGAGTGATACTTCTTGCGAAATTACGCGGAAATTAATTCCTCGCGTATAATTAGGAATCTACAGTATATTTTTCAACAAATCCTGATACTTTATTTTTCTTTCAGGGCACTATTCTAGTAAGACCCTAACATGAATGTCAGAATGCAAATTTTAAAAGCTGATACATTGTATATTCCAAATCTGTATAGGACAATTTGGAAACGTTGAGAAGTACAGTGTACTGTATTATCCCTATTAACCTCCCAAAGTGCTTAGAAAATTGCAAAAGAGGGGCCATAAATTCAGTACAGTATTCACTTTATAATATTAGGCCCTAGGCCAAAATAAAATTATAGTTTGTTTGGAATTGCCTCCCGCCTCATTGAAATGCCCCCTCCTGAAAAAATTTTATTGACCAAAAGTAGGAAGATTTTTTTTTATTTAATCAATTTTTTTGCCCATTACATTTATCACATGTCAGACCTATGTAAAATTAGGTTTTATTGTTGATGGTAGATACTTTTTTTAAAAGTAAGAAAATGTATACGCATTTACTGTTTACTGAGATTTTTATAAAAAATTAAAAATTTATCTTCAATTAAAAAAAAATAATTTCCCTCCCTCCCTCCTGTGTCTGAAACCCTTCAGGCGGCAATTCCAAACAAACATTTTTTTAAGGATGGCCCTATATGTCACATTTTAACTTTAAAAAAAATCTCTGGAAAAAAGAAATTAATTCAAAGAACCACTAAAATAATATGTAACAATACTTTAAGTGAAGATGATCCACCCAAATTAAGCTAAATGATTCATTTTCCACCAAGGAGTTGGATTATAGCCGGGTTTCATTTTCACTTTCTTCACATTTTGGCAGACTTTTGATACGATTATAGTTGATTTTAATTACTGTACAGGCGGCCCTTACTTCCTGACAATTGAAAAAGACCTCAGGGGGCGCTTATAGGGGCAGGGGCTGTTAATAGGGATTATATGGTAAATCAAGTATTAGGAATAGAAGTGAAATATAGTTTTCATATGACCTAATTTTAGCAAAAGTTAGCTCCCGTTGGCCGCCATACTGGAGGTCCAAATGCTCATATTCCTTCATTGTTCAACCAATTTTAAATTTTTATATTTGCGATTTTGAATTAGGAATCATTATTTTTCTGAAGTATATAAATTTTTGGAAGCCTCCTTTATTAAGAAAAAATTATTTAATAAAGATTTTCTACCAAATATTTCTGCTATATTTTCTTAAACTTGGTAAGACAAAGAGGAAAACTCACCGTGTCGACCTCCAATATGGCGACCAACGGGAGGTAACTTTTGCTAAATTTGGGTCCATCGAAAACTATCTATATGATTAATTTAAAGGCACCATGCTTCAAAGAGTGGAACCCATATCAAACAGCAAGAAATAATACCTACTGAGAGCGACCAAAAAAAAAAAGATGTCGCTGAAAATTGAAAACTTTTGCAATGTTTGGATCTGTAGATGCGAAATTTTCTCAATCAGCATGATCAGAGAAATACAATATCCAAATCCTAAAATATATTTTTGAAATATTTTCATCATAGCTATGTTAATGAAGAATCATTGGGAATTGAGTATGATACTCTTGACAGACAGACAAACAATATGACACATACATTGTATATACATCACCAAAACAGAATTACACGATTTAGACTTTCTGTGTTGTTGATCTGTCCAACGGAGAACCAACACTTAACACATACCATGTTCTCTTGTACACAGATCCCCCTCTCTAGGTGTGCTCTTGAGCTTGCTGTGTCCAAACCCTTTTGTTTTTTTATGAATCAGCTGACCTACAAAATAATTTTGAAATAATCTTTATTCCATTTCAAATACACATATGATACAAATCAAGATTTAAGTGAATATCAATTTCCAAACAACAACAACAACCCACTAAATGTATTCGTAATTCAATAATTTACATTAAATCAATATGTTTGCTTTTCCATGATGCCAACCATTGTGGGAGCAGTCCCTTTTCTGATCCTAGTATGCATATCATCATAATATGTATTTTATTCTAAGACATACCTGTACATATCCATATAAGTGGTAGCTTGACTGTTTTACTTTTATTTCATTGAAATATTTAATTTCTTAGGTGTTTTATTATTTTACCTTCTATTAATCAGAATATCACTTACTAGCAATTTAATATAAAGGCAAGTTCAGTTAAATGAACATCCCTAAATATGCTGCAATTTTTTAATTCACATGAACTGATAGTATAATACAGTGGACCTTCAAATATCCGGACGCCGGAACAGAATTTTTTAACATTTTCTTGTCTTGTTTAACTGGTAATTCAAGTATCCGGACGCTTCATATATCCGGACAAATTGACCAGGAACCAAAGCGTCCGGATAAATGAGGCTCCACTGTAGTTGTGTAAGTTGTACTGACTTCGTCCTCTGTGTACTGACAGATCACACAAGTCCACTTCTGTGTCGTCATCATCACCACAATTTTCATACTGGATATTACATAGCATCAATAAATAAAAAACCTTATTCACAATACATATTTATTAATATTAATGCATGCAAACTAGAATATCAATAAAGCTTTAAGAAATTACATTTACTATTAGTATATACAGAAAAAAATTTAGAATAGTTGATGAATGTATCAAAGTTGTTTAAATTTATTTATGTGTTAATTTGAAGTGCAAGATAAACATTTCTATTTGCAATGTTAATTTATGGGATATTAAATCCTAAAAAACTTATTAAATGTCATTTCATGACAGGTCTCAATCTGTCTTGTTTTACTTTTACACGTTTTCTTTGGGATATCCCGATATCGATGAGGCTCAGAGCAAATCTAATCAATGAAAAGGTTCTGCTATTTCCTTCAATTTAATTACCTTGTCAAAAATATGCTGTAGATTGGACTGGTACCTTCGCAATCTCGTCTCTGGATCCGTAGAAATGTACCCTCGATCTCTTCTACCTTTCAAAGGCCCCGCCATTATTTTCCTACGTTTATTGATATTCTGACTTTCGAGCCCGATCGATATAGTTGGAGAACGGAAACTTGCGTTTTTACATCAGGATGAAAGTTAATGATCTCTCTGTCAAGTTCCTTGTTTCACTGACTTCTGTGTTTTATTGATAACGTATATTGTACTATGTAGAATAATATTTATTTCATAGATAAATGTGTGGCCAAAAAGAAAGTTGAAAGCAGGAATATTATTGTTTCAGAGTTATTTATAGAATAAGAAAACGTACCTGTTCATTTAATTTATTTCTTTGGTACATGTAAACATATGGCTTAGAGAGGACTCTACATGGGGCAGAATAGTAGTAAACAGTCTACCCCAAGTGTGGGTAAGGAAAACTTGCACCAAAATTAATTCTTTATAATCATGCAGTGTTAATTTTAATAGCAATTGAAATCTACAATTATAATTGCATGATCATTATTTACGCTATCGGTTAATTGTCAATGAAGTTAAAAGTGATGAAGTAGGTGTTTGTTCTATATGTAAATTATTTTAAAAAGTCACCAAATCATGCTGCCACCAGATAAGTCGCATGATTTCTGAGAGATCTCCTTGAGAGAAGAGAATTTAAGTCTTCCTGGTTTAATTATAATAGTCTTTTATATGTTTTGATTCAATTAACCCATGCAGAACCTTAATTATTTAGTCCTTCGATCAATATTTCCTAAGGTAATTTCCCTGTTTCTCAAAGAAAGCCCATATGCAAAAGAAAACAGGGAAAATATACATATTTAAGATAGGTTTTCCAAAAAACACAGAATGTTTTTATTATATCAATTTTTGTGACATAATTTAATATTAACCCAAAGTATATCTCCTGATCAGCAACGTAAGTCACTGTGGCTTTCGTTTCTCTTTAAGAGGGCCATAATTAAGGGTCTTTGTTGCATGGAAAAGCATTGAAGTGAGGGGGAAATGTTTATCAAGAATGCACGTGGGTGGTCTCAACTCTTGAACATATTTATAAGCCTAAAAATTATAGCGATTTATATGAATGAATTCAACTTGTGGAATTCGTTTTTCTTGTTGACAGTAAATGTTCCTGTTCGAGGGAGAACTCCGCTACAACATGCACTGTCGAATCTCAATTTGGTACCACCTCCAGCCCCACCCCCCACCTCAGGCGGCGCCGGCCCTCGACAGTGGGTAAAGATTGGAGGGGTCAGTGTGACAGTTGTAAAAGGACAACTCACTGATGAACAGGTCAGATGCTAATTTTCCTTTAAAAAGGATTAATTTGATAATGCAGTGCATATAGTATCCTTACTTCAAAGAAATATAGAAATTTGCTAGGATAATCATGTACCTGGTACTTGGTAAATGCATTTCTTGAATGTATAAAAAAGTTGCATTGTTTATTCTATGAATTAAACTATCATCTTAAAAAACAAAAGAATTTACCTATAATATATATACTCTCCCATATATTTAAAATAGCTTACAAAAGTGCTATTCAAACTAGAAATATTAATTCCATAAATATTTCTTCCTTCATTCATTCAATGAAGTTGAACATATCAAGTTAAGATACATGTAAAAGTAAATCCATTAATATACTATACAGGCTGATGTTTATGTGAATGGAGTGTCCTCTAACTTTGACATGAGTAGAATTCCCAGTAAGAAATTAAGTGATGCTGCTGGACCATCTTTGGAAGCTGACTGCAAGAAGAGATTTCCTAATGGCCTAAAAGCAGGAGACATCGCAGACACAGGGGGCTTTAATTCCAAGTGCCAGAGAGTGTATCATGTGACCCTTCCCAGGAGTCAACAGGATGGCAGTCAGAGCAAGGTATAATTAATGGCTGCTCTTCCATGGTTCGATTAAGTTATTTTCTTATTTCTAGTTTTTTTTTAGGATTTTAAAAATTTTGCATTTAACTTCAAAATCTAAACTGGGTTTTCATTTAACTCATAAAAATTAACTTCCTGCCTTTATGAATAGTGCATTGCTTCTTGCTTTTGTTATGTCAATGATATTTTAGTTTCAAGTTTGTGAAAGAAAATCAAACTGTAAAATATAAGCCTGAATATATACCTACTTTATTACATGTAGTTAAGACTTTTGATATATTTTTCAAACCTTTCCAGACTATAATAGAATCAGTAAAGAACTGCCTTGAGAGAGCCAATAAAAACAGCTTCAGTTCCATTGCTGTACCAGATCTGGGGTCCCCCATTGGGTACCCTCCCAGTATTCTGGCAGACCTGATGTTCACCGCAGTGGAGGAGTTCAGTGAAGGGAAAACCAACCCCAACCTCTGCCAAGTGGTGTTCTCCATCTTCAAAAATCAAGTTTACACGGTGCTCATTGTGAATCAGTCTATGATGTGCATTTTTTTTAATTATATGATATACTGAACATTAAAAACCTTTATGTACTTCTGTGTTTTTTACAGGCATTTGTTAACAAAGCAAAGGAAATTTCAACTCAAAATTCAGGTATCAGTCATATAATATTCATTTTTTTCAATAGGTAGCAGATTTAAGATTATTTTCCATGTAAACTTTAAAGAAAAAAATGCTGATCTGATTATGTTTTGGTCTTCAATTAATGAGAGAGATGCTGTACTTAGTTTCAGTTTATCATTTACTTTACAGTTGTAACACAGACAACTAAGTGTAAGTTAGGAAGAATAGAGGTCTGTTTGAAGGTTGGGAAACTGACCGAACAACAGGTAAGATTCATATAAAAATAATCACAAGGGCATTCCTTGCCACATCAACTTAAATGGTTCAAATAATCACACCAAAAAAATCATCGACAAGATAATTATTTAATAAGGGCAGGTGACATGTTCCTTTAAAATATAGTTTTCCTCAAGAATTTGTGATTGTTTAAAGTATCGCACATTTAATTATTAACCTTATAAAAAATGAGGTACATTGATTGGGCATTTGTGCAAGATTCCAGAGGCCAGTATTTCCTATGAAATATAAGTAGATAACGAACATCATTCAAGCTCAAAATTCATTAAACAGTACAACTTTGAAGGAGCAGAGCAAACACAGATCTCTGAAACATCAGAGGAGGGATCAGGTGCCATGGAGGAGTGAGCATTCCCTGCTGACTGGTCACACAGTCTGTGTTCTCCTTGTCATGATTGGGAAATAACAGAAAAATCAGTCAAAAATTCAATGTATCAATAATGGTCTAACAATTAGTATGAAAAACATTTGTCAGTATTTGACTTAATGATAGAAATATATTTGCTGACAAGGTCATGCATCGATCTATGGTATGATCTTATTTGTGTTTCCTAATAGATTGAAGATATCACAATTTTTGGTTAACATTTACTTTAAAGTTCATTATACTGAAAGCAGTTTCACACCTTTTGAAATCAATAAATATTTTTTATGATAATTATTATAATTTTGGACTGTTACTAAGATATACAAAAGCAGATATTTGTGGAATACTATCAGACCTTAAAATACCTACCTTATTTGGTACCAACAATAAACCTGTATCAAAGCTGTTTCCCATAGTTATTATAACATATTCTGTAGTATCCAATTTGGAATATTACTGATACATGTATATCCATAATAAATCTTTTGATATGATTGACACTGTACAAAACCAGTGCATGAGATATTTTTTATTTCCTCAAGCACATGTTACAGTGTTTAGTGTGCTTGCTACACATTACTGTATTATTGTATTTTAGGTGGATGTTATCGTTTGTAGTGGGCCTCAAGATCTGAAACTGAAAAATGGAGGAATGGCAGAGACAATGCTGAAGGCTGCAGGGCCTGGACTTCAGGAAGACTGTGAAAATAAATATCCAAATGGGATCCAGTATGGAGAAATTGCCATCACTGGTGGCCATAACTTGCCATGTCAATTTGTGTACCATGGGGCTCTCCCCAAGTGGGGAACATCCTGTACCCCTACGCCAAAGCAGGTACTTGTGTACTTAATTATGGTATAAAGACAATTAAAATGACCTGAAAAAAACTCATGTTTAATTCATTTCAGTTATGATAATTACAGTTGAACTTTGCTATCTCAAACTCTGATATATTGAATAGACGAATATACCATGGATATGTCAAAGTGAGTTGAGAGTTCAAACAACATTTTATTACTGAATTTACCCATAATATCGTGAACTCACTGTAATTTGTCCCATTGAGGTTTGACTGTAATTTGTCAACTTTCTCTTGAAGATCTTGGAAGACTTTGTCACCAACTGTCTGGAGGAGGCTAATAAACATCCCATGACAAAGACCCTTGCTTTCCCCACCCTGGGGACTGGATCTCTTGAGTACCCTCCCGATGAAGTGGCTGAGGTCATGGCAGAGTGCATTAAAGACTTGAACAAAAAAATATCCCAAAACTGAACTCACCAGAGTCACCATCGTAGCTTACAACCTGGACAAGAAATGGCAAACTGTTCAACAGGTAAATTGTTTTTCATATTAAAAAAAAATTTGCAGGATTTTATTCAGTATTTTTTCAACAGGTCAAAATTACCAAGGCTGGCAATTTGTGAACGGCCGACTCAAGAGGAACAATGGTATAAATCATTTTTAAAAATCCATAATTGGTTACTGTATACTGTGAAGAAATATTTTTTATCTCCATTTAGTTTTTTGCTCTTTTGTAATTATTGCAACTGGGTGAATTGAAAATGGAGCGAATTTAAAGAAAAAAGCATATTCTCTTAAACAGATCTGCTTCTACAATTTACAGGCATTTTTAAGTTCTTCAATTTACAGGCATTTTTTTTAGTTCTTCAATGTACAGGCATTTGTTTGACTTTCTGCTCTGCAGTTTACTAGATTTTTATATATGTACTACAAAATTTTAGGGATTTTTTTTAGTTCTATCACGATAATATCATGATATTTTTACAAGCAATTTTTACAATGGTTTTTAATGAATTGTCATTATTTTTCTTCAAAATATTCTAGAAAAACAAATTTCACTTTTTTTGAAATTTTTATGTACATAAAATTAATC